GAATCGGATTTACGAGGAAGACGGTATCTGTTTTGGACATTTAAAAGTATGTAGTGGTTTTGAAAAATAGTTATGTAGAAGTTCTTGATATCAAATTCAAGAAAAGCGTGTGAGCTGGAGCTTTGGGAGTGACTGGTCTATTTGTGGTAGCTGAGTCACAAGTGTGATGTGACTGACCGGGAGAAGGAGGGTGCTGAGACCAGCCTGAGGACCAGGACCATTTGAGAAGCAAGCCCTCCCAGGAAACGAAGAAGGAGCTCTCGGGGTAATAGACAGAGTTGTGCCACAGAACCCAAACAGTGAGGACATTTGAAGAAGGAGGAATTTGCCCTGGTCAGTTTTGCTCAATGGATAGAGCATTGTCCCGAGGACCAAGGGGTCGCAGGTTCAATTCCTGGTCAAGGGCATGTACCTGGATTGCATGTTTGATCCCCAGCCCCAGTCAGAATCGTGCAGGAGGCAATCAATTAACGTGTCTCTCTCACATCAATGCCCCCCCCCCCCCCCCCCGCCAACTGTCTCTAAAAGTCAATGAGAAAATATCCTCGGGTGAGAATTGACAAAAAAAAAAGGAGGAATTTGTTCAACAGTATTCAAGGCAACAGAGGTGAAGAAACACCAGGGTTGAAGCTAGGTTATAAATTTTTCAGCTAGATAAGATCTATTCTGGTCTGTTTGGCATATTTTTGACCAAGGTCATGTGAACAGATTATATTTCTTCCAACAATTGGTACTTGGAGCTGTATCATTACACTCGTATCAATACGGCATTGACAATGACCTACTAAGCAGTAATCGGTGTAACAGGTCTTTTCATCACATCTTATTTGTTAATTTTTATCAGAAGACAAAAAAAAGTCACTTTCTTCTTGATACAAACAAAATCTAGTAGCTACTATATTCTTTTTAAAAATGTTTCCATCACCATTTATCCCCCCATACCCTCTTCCACCTGCACCCCCCACCCCTGCCCCTGCAGTCACCACACTGTTGTCTGTGTCAACGAGTAGCTACTATACTCTGTTTTAGTTTTGCCACCTGACTGTGGCATTGCCCACTACAGCAGGGGTTCCCTCAAGTTCAGGACATCTACTCATGTGTCAGGTGACAGCTAGTTCTCCCACTCTCTTCTGTAATACTAGGAGAACTTATTTTGAAGAATGTGTTATGACAGCATTTGGTCTCACCTAGCTGGGCATATTGTTCATATATTTAGTCCACTTCTTTTCCCTTTTCTGACATTATTAAAATATTTCTACTTGGAGCCAGTGTGATCCCAGGCAGAAATGCAAATACAGGCAGTGAAATCAAGTATCAGTACCTGATTGAAAGGCAATTCAGAATGTGTGTTAACACTTCTAGGCCACTGAACTGAGAACATACGATGTCGCAGTCCTCCTGGAGAGCTTGTCCTGGAGAAGACACCTTCTTGACCCATGTATCAGAAACACTGCCAGGAAGAACTTTGCCAGTGAATGGCCATTCCTCCCGTCGTGCCTAGATTTTATTTTCCATTTCAGAGTCTTTGAGGGAAGAAGGCTTGAGCAGCGCCTTCAAGGGGCAACAGTAGTCAGTGGTAGTTACCGGTGTGATGATTTCCACAGGTTGGTTTTAGAATCATTTTTACTCCTTTCATATGGCCCCATCTCTTCTTACCATATAAATGGAAACTTCTTTGATAATTAACTATGGAGTGTTACTTTTTGCATCATCTTCAGTGCCCATTGCAGTGGCAGATTCCAACGGGTAATTGGTCAAGGCTACTTTTATTTAATACACACTCAAGCAGTTAATATGATTTGGGGGGAGGGCTTGCATAATGATAATCAACATGGAACTATGCATCGAAATAAATTACAGAGGCCTGGCTTTCTTCTTCATGAGGAAGAGTAGGGACAGCAAAGCCTGGAAGTATATCAGATACTAATTCTTACTGCCCATAAGCCCTTTTCTAAAGCCCTTTTCTTTCTATGGACTTTCATGAGAAGCCCTGGTCCAGGAACAAGGAGGTCATTAAAGCTATTTACCAGTATTTCCTTCTCCTGGACACCTGATAGGATTGAGCCTCTCCGCCTGGTCCTGTGACTTGCTGTGTGGCCAGTCATTGTGAGAAGTGGCAAATATCATTTCTAGGGAAAACCTTTTTTTTTAATTAATTAATTTATTTTTGTTACAGATGTTTTTCCTTTTTACCCCTCCCTCCTGTTCCCCCCTCTGATTCCCCTCTTCCCCTCTGTCCCCAGCTTTGTTGTTCATGTCCATTGTTCATGCATACATGCATACAACTTCTGTGGTTTCTCTCTCCCCTCCACCCCCTCTTCTGGGGACTGTCAGTCTGTACTCCACTTCCACATCTCTTGGACTACCCTGTTCCTCAGACTGTTATGTTCATTATATTCCACAAATAAGTGAGATCATATGAAACTTGTCTTTCTCTGTTTGGCTTGTTTCACTTAAGATGATACTTTCCAGGTCCCTCCATGTCGTCTCATAGGATGAGAGATCTTTCATTCTTACAGCTGCATAGTACTCCATTGTGTATATGTACCACTGCTTTTTTATCCATTCGTCTACTGATGGACACTTGGGCTGTTTCCAGATCTTAGCGATTGTAAATAGTGCTGCTACAAACATGGGGGTACATATATTCTTTCTGATTGGTGTTTTAGGCTTCCTAGGGTATATTCCTAGAAGTGGGATCACTGGGTCAAATGGAAGTTCAATTTTTAATTTTTTGAGGTAACACCATATTGTTTTCCATCTAGGGAAAACCTTTAAAAGTTGGTGTCAGATCCTCTTTCTGCTCCAATGCCAGCAATAATATTCAGATGATGGCTCCATTTTCTGTGTCCATGAGTGAAAGTAACAGGGAGTAAAGCCCCCCAGTGACCATAGATGGACAGGTAGCTCAAGAGATAAATAGACCTTTGCTGTTTTAAGGTATTGAGATTTGGGGTGTGATGTTGATCTTGATTTTACAGAGGTCAAGCACCCGAAGTGGTCATTGTACCCCTCAGAGTGAAGAGAGTTAACAAAAGGGTCTAAGCCAGTCAAAATATGTACAAAGTGGATTCAGCTAGCAAAAACCCAGGTTATTTTAGTGATAGTAATTAAGATGATACAGTGCCTTACAATTCTCAAAAGCATTTTTTTTGGGGGGGAGGGTACATGCTCTTAGCGGGAACTGAACCCAGAACTCTCTGGTCTGCAGGCCGTGGCTCCAACCTCTGAGCCAAACCTGACAGGGCTCAAAAGCATTTTTAAATAGATCATTTCATTTATTCTTCCTTGTGTTCTCAGGGGTCCTCTACCTCTTCCTTCCAGACCAACTCTTCCTGGTCAGAGTCAGATGCTCTCAATGTCCCATCCTACTTGGAATACGTAGGAAACTGTGTCTTGTTCATAAATGTATACCTTCCTCCAACATCCATGCTCCACGGTTTCAGACTCATGGTAAGTGCTTTATACATGCTCATTTGAAGAAGTTGAGAAGTGAGTTAAGTGTCAATTCCAAGGTTACAAGCTGACAAGTAGTAATTAGGATTCAAGTCAAAGACTTTTGACTCACTCTGTGACTTAACTGTCATTTACTGAGCACTGAGGAAGAGAAAGCAGCCCTGACATCCAGGTGCTGCTATGAACTAGCTCTTCTGGACTATGACCACGGTGTTCTGTGGAATAAAAAACAATTTCATCGAACACCAGCATCAAACAAGGCCATTCTGTGACCATGATCCAGGCAAAAACAAGACCACTGTATAATCCTGTCTGAATACAGACAGAACTTGAACATTATCTAGACCACAAAATGGCTACGACTGCTGCTTCTTATCAGTGATGGCTTTAGCCTCCAACTAGTCTTCACTCCTTCTAAATAACATTTATTAAGACACCCAGTCACAGAATCACCCACATCCTAATAGCATCCGATCCAATGCAGGCTTTGCTTTCTTGAACTCGCCTCAAAATCACAGAACATAAGCCCAAATCCCATAATACATTCTAAACATTTTGTGCTGCGATACTCCATAGTTCCCCATGAATGCATTCCTCCTGGCTACAAGCTACAAGACTTAATAAACCCAACTCAGTCAGTCAGGTGTGTTCCTGGTGGGTTTCAGGGCTATGCTGTATATACACATGGAGGTTTTCCTTTCAACAATCCTGTAAGGTTGTTACCCCCCATCTGACAGATAGAAAATGGAGGTTCAGCCCTGCGATGTGGCTCAGGGGTTGAGCATGGAGCCACGCACCAAGAGGTCACGGTTGGATTCCTGGTCGGGGCCCCTGCCCAGGTTGTGGGCCTGATCCCCAGTGGGGGGCATGCAGGAGGCAGCCAGTCAATGTTCTCTCTCATTGATGTTTCTATCTCTCTCTCCCTCTCTTCCTCTCTCTCTAAAATCAATTATATATATATATATATAAAAGAAAAATAGAGGGTCATACAGATGAATCATTTACCCAAGTTCACACCACCAAAAAGAGTGGGGGGGGGGGGGCACATTTCATACCAAGGCTGGCCGGGCCAGGAGCACTCACTCCCCTGCACCAGGTGCCCCCCAGCCCTCCGTCTCCTCCGCGTTTCTTCTTAGGACCCTTGCCCGGAGGCCGGAATGCTACAGGGAGGTGCAGGGCAAACAGGGTACTTTTGCAACAGTTCCCCTGTGTGCTTCTGTGAAAAACACCACCAGACCGCAGAACCCAGAGTCCGCCCTGGGCGCCCCCTAGCTCCAATCCGCGCCGGCCTGGCCTGGGGCCTCCAGGCGAGTGCGAGAGCGACGTGGAGGCGGACCAATCAAGGGGCCCAGCCGAGGGATCTGGGCGGGACCGTGGCCGCTGCGGTGGGGACCCGCACCGGCGGCCCCGCCTTCCTGGCGGGCGAGGGCTGAGTCAGCGCCGCTCAGCTGGGCCGCGGACCGTCGGCCGCCGGCTCCCGCGCAGGGTCCGCTGTGCGCGCCGCGCCTCCCGGGTTCGCCGGGCCGGGTCGCGGGGCCGCGGAGGAGCCGAGCCAGGGCCGCGCAGGGGACCGTCCCCGTGGTCACTCTGGACGCGGAAGTGCGCTTTCCTTGCTTTGCGTTCAAATAAGAGCTGCAGTCACCCTGGCAGGGGCTCTGGGTCGAATTCCGCGATTGCCCTTCGCATCCTGGGGGCGGGGACCCCGCGTCCGGGTGCACCGGCGGCTCGCGGGGCGCGGAGCGCAGAACGCCCCGGAGGGGAGGGCAGAGCGTTCGGACTCCGGGTCCTTAGCCTGGCAAGGAGACTGCCCGAGAGGTGAGTCATAAAAATAAGTCTCTTTAAGATTGGGGGCTGTTTTCTGAAAGTCTCCCGTCCCGTCCGCTGTCGGCCAGCAGCCGGATGACAAAAACAAACTGTGGCGCAACTGCTCGCGTCCCAGAACCACCTCACCGTTTCCCTTCGAAAACCCGCCGGCGGTGTACCGGACGGAACCTCCAGTGGCCACCGAGTCACCAGAATGGGTGACACCTTATTTTACAGAACTGTGTTCAAGTGGTGGGAGCCCTGCAGGGTCCCCCTCTTTAAAACGGGAAGTATGACAGCCTCCTGTTTACCCCTTTCAGAGTAAAAGCTACTCTTTGCAAGTGCTGGCTGCTTTCCGTCCCCTAGTTGGCTTGTTTACGCCACAAAACCCTCCTCACTTTCCTGTCAGTGAAAATCTAGCCTCCCGGAGAAAAATGCCTCCCATTGGCTCTGTCCTTTTTCTCCTCTGTAGAGCTCAGCAGCCTGCCCCAGCAACATGAAGAAGATTTTCCTTGTAGAACCTGCCATCTGCCTCAGTGCATTTGCCATGACTTTGATCACCCCACTGACCACACAGTACGTGTACCGGAGGATATGGCAAGAAACGGGCAACTACAGTATTGCACTGGACAGCAACATTTCTGAATGTGAAAAAAATAAAAGCAGCCCGATATTTGCATTCCAGGAGGTAAGAAATTAAAATACCCCTAAAACATGCTAAAAAGGAAAGAGTAATGGGATTGTAAATGAAAGGGTACCTGGCACTCATCCTACGTTGCTCTCTCAGGGTCACTGTGAAACTCCTAAACCCCAAACCAAGTGCCCGTCTTCAGTTCTCATCCAGTTTGAGGTTTCCTGACACCTCCACCTGCCTCTGCCACTTCTTTTGTGACACTGGCTCTTCTTCTTCCTCAGAAAACTTCAGAGCAGTCTCATCTCCTCTGTGACTCTCTCCTTCCTCCGTTCCCCTCCCCGACCCCCCAGAAGCCTGAGAGTTGCACTAAGGCCAGCAGGAACTAGAGTGCCCTGGACAGACAGGGCTGGGGTGAAATGGTGTCTCTGCCTCTCCCTTGCCCTCTTTCTCCCATGGCGCATGCATGACCCATCACTGAAAACTGTGGGGCCCGCTCTGCCATGGGGTGGGAGGTGGGACAGCACCAGTCATTCATCATCTGGTGATATCAAGTCATCTCTGACCCCCATGTGTCAGGACCCCTGGGGTGAAGAGCACTCACTTTTGCTCTAAGAACCCTGAAACTATTTAGCCAGACATTACAGAGCCTTCCTCACTCCCTGGGAAGCCTTCTTCCTCTCCCGCCCCCGCAATTGTTCATTCATTTAAAACAAGAGGTCCATCACCGGTCTCCTGTTCCTTCAGGCAGTTTTTAACAAAGTCTACGATGTCCAAATGCAAAGGAGAAAGCATCCAGATTTAGCATTTCCTACCCCCACAATGCCTCAAAAACAAACCTCATTTATAACCTTTGAACTGTTCCTCTTGGGAATATTTTGTGATGGCAAAAGTGTCGTGCTGCCTCCCAAGTCAAAAGATAGGAAGAGTTTACAGGAATTCAGGTCACCTGCCTGCAGGCTCCAAGATTGTCTTCTCAGAAAAAGAGAATTCACAGGTGTGACTGGGAACATCAGAGTGTGGGAGGAAATGGCGGAGTGCCCCAAGGAAGGCTCTGGCACTTCCTGAGGTGGTCCCCAGCTGTCAGGCATACCCTAGCTGGGGTGAGGACTGGGGGTTTGGCCCAGCCCCTACTGTTAACTCATTAACTCGTTTCCTCATTTCCATGGGCGAAATCTCCCTGGTCTAGAAGGGCCAGGCCTCACCTCATGGCTTTTTCTCTCCCTTCAAGAATGTGTCCCATGATCTATGTCATTCCCAGGGAGTAAGAAAGCTCAGTAGGTTGGGAGCAATGGAGAAAGGAGGAGAGGACTAGAGCTTTGGAAACGTCGGCTGCCCTTCCCCTGGTAGAGGGAGCGGAGACAGCCCTTGGTCCAGCCACCTCGGTGGCCTCTGACTGTGCAGGTGATGAATATTGGCTGAAAGCCCCTGCTGCCTAGAGCAGTGGTCTCATTTGGAGGATTTTTGCCAAATTTTTTAATTCATTGACTTGTTTCATTTATTGTTTTTCAATTGGATTAATATTTAAGAGCACATACTGCCCTAGGTCCCTTTCCTTAAAATTGGTGTCCTAGAGCCACAGGTGCTTGTTCTCAGATTGAGGAACTAGAAACCAGCCCCATGCCCACCCCCACTCACAACTGGGACAGGCCATGGCGGCCCTTTCACCTTTTGTTTCTTAGGACCGAGGAACAGTTTTGCTTCTTAGGAGCCACCGTCACTTTTAGCACTTCCTTCTAGACCCTTTTCTGGATACTGTTCCTGCTCAGCTTCTCAGAGAATATTTCCTATTTCTCATCCTTTCAAATCCAAATGAGTGGATTCTGTTCCCTGAGCTCTGTCTCAATTCCCAGCTCTGCTGGGTGGGCTCTGGCTACTTGCTCACTAAAAGAAGTATAGTGATTTGTTGACTGTTCCTGTAACTCTAAAAATAAGAGATGTCTTAGCACAGGGTCAGTCCATGAATGAATGAATGAATGAATGAATGAATGATTTGTCCAGCTCCTATTTTTCTTGCCACTCCCCCAAAAGGTCAATTGTGTATAAAAAGAGTTCATAATACAATAAAGTGTTGAACTTCTTACTGTTAGAGCATATTTCTTTATCCTTCCTACAAACACACATACATGTACATGTATTACAATAAAAAATACTGTGAATTTAAAGGTATAGCTTATAAGAGTAAACTGAGCTATTTCGCTTATATTAACATTTTAAAATCTGTATAGACGAGTCTTATTTTTCAACCCATTCGGAGTTGAGAGATATCTAACATATATCTATATCTATATCTCGTTTTCTGAGTCCTGTGACAGTGCGCTATACCTCCACACTTCTCTCTGGCGGTGCGGGTGATCTCTAAAGGAGCTCTGAACAAAATGAGGAGGCTGTGGGAAGGAAAGGCTTGGCTAAGGGTAGAGAGGTAGGAAATTCTAGGCATGTTTGTTGACTTTTGTGGAAGAATGAATTAATGTTTAGTCCCCTTACCACTCCCTCCTTCCATTGTTAAATGATTCATTTTGAAGTGTTCAGTCGGCCATTGGGTTCTGTTCCCTTCAGACAACTTTCAAGATAGGGACTTTGCTATTGGAGGGGACAACTTAGGGTTACCGACAGATCACAAAGTTGTTCTTGCTCAACAATTTATATATAAATCATTTTTTTAAAATATGCTTTTATTGATTTTAAAGATAGAGGAAGGGAGAGGGAGAGAGAGAGAGAAACATCTACGAGAGCAAAACATCCATCTGCTGCCTCCTGCATGCCCCCTACTGGAGGCATGTGCCCCGACTAGGAATCGAACCGGTGACCTCATGGTGCATGGGACGACATTCAACCAACTGAGCTACTTGGCCAGGGCTATACATATAAACCTTTTAATAACTAATACAGCCCCTTGTTATCAGCAGATAAGGAGTATTTTCTATTTAATTGGAATCAATACATACGTTTTGGCCTATGAAATTGTGACTGCTTTAAAATTGATATTGCTTTCCTTAATTTCTTCCTATCTCAGTACATTGTCATTCTGTCCAGTCTTGGATAGGAAACAGCACTTTTTTTTTTTTTTCTCTGATTTCCCTCATTTATCCTTTATATTATATCATTGTAATTCTCCAGAGTTTAAAAGGCACGCACACAACTTATGTCTTAACTTTGACTTATGATTGAAATATGCTTTGAGTTTGTCTTTGTTAAAATTTGTATTTTAAACATAGGCTAGACATGCGGAGTTTGGTCTTGAGTGAAAGACTGGGTTAGGAAACAGCAGCTAGAAAGGAGAAGACAGGACCCAGGGGGAGGGGGAGGGGAGGAGAAACCCCAAATCTGAACATCTTGTTTGAAAAGTTGATTAAAAGGTAACTTTCATTCATTTATTTATCCAATAAATATTTACCTGATGGCTACTATAGCTGTAGGAGATACAAGGTGTGCTCAGGAAGTCTGATCTGATAAAAATGAACTGGGTAAAACAGTAAACACTGGTCACAGACGAGGGCCTTGTGCCCAGCATGTCATATGTACTTAAAATTTAACCCTCACAGCAGCCTGCAAGGTAGGGGCTGTTGTTATCCCCTCTTGTCCGTTGAAGAAGCTATAGAAAGAAAGAATTTGATCAGGGTCCCACACAGCAAGTTCCAGAGGCATATTTTACTTGATTATTCAGTCAGTCAGTCAATGTTAAGTATCTGCCCTGTTCCGAGCACTGTTCTGGAAGCCAGCGCTGTGTGGTGAAAATAAGGCCTGGCCCTGCCGGAGTGTAGGTCAGAGTAGAGGAGACACACAGTGAGCGATCAATCACTCTGTCCTGTCAAGGAGCAGTATGTCTCCAAAGCAAGCGAGGTCAGGGTAAGGGGATAGAGCCCTTGCTGGGGTTCGTGGAACCATTTTGGATTAAGTGATCTGTCCTGGTAGGCCCTCTACGGAGCTGACATTTGAATTGAGGAAGTGAGCTGTGTGGCAGGTGGAGAGAACAGCAAGTGCAAAAGCAAATGAGCACGGAGTGTTTGAGGAATGAGGAACCGGAGGCCAAATCCAAGAAGTCGTGGTTTCTGGCCACCTACAGCACCACAGGGAGCTGGATTTATTCCAGTGTAAGGACAGCCAGTAGGGGATTTTGAACAAAGGGATGAGAGGAGCTGATGTGTGTTTGTAAAAATCATTCTAATTACTGTGACGATCATCTTAACTGGCTGGATTTGAGTCAGATTCACCCGACACCAGAACTCAATCTTTTTTTTTGAGAGAGAGAGAGTGCGAAACATCTATGTGAGAGCAAAACATCAATCGGTTGCCTCCTACACACCCCTACCAGGGATCAAGCTCACAGCCCAGGCATGTGCCCTGACTGGGAATTGAACCAGCAACCTTTCGGTGCACTGGACAGTGCCCAACCAACTGAGCCACGCCGGCCAGGGCCAGAGCGCAATCATTTTGCCAAAAAATACAACTGGGGAATGGTAACTGTTATGAGAGAAGGTTCGGAGGAAGGAGAGGTTACATCTGTTTGGGACTTGCAGGGAAATCCAAGTTGCACTGTGCCTGGGACTTAGAGAGCGTTTGGGGAGTGAGTGGGGACAGTGCTGAAGTGAAGGTGGACCACCTCTTGGCAACCTCAGTACCAGACTTTCTGCAGCAGGCAGTGGGGAGCTCCTGAAGCTTCCATGCAGGTGGAAGGCATGCTGATAGTGCCTGTGGTCTGCAGGGTGAGGAGACTGGCACTACTTACTGAACTGAATAGAGACCAGTCAGTTGCCAGCGTGGTCCACGTGAACACTAATGTGAGTTGTTGCTCCATTGACAACCGTGGGCTATAAAGAAAGAAAGGGGGCCCTGGCCGGTTTGGCTCAGCGGTTGGAGCTTCGGCCTGCGGTCCAGAGAGACCCGGGTTCCATTCTCGCTAAGGGCATGTACCTCGGATGAGGTTTGTCCCCGGCCCTGGTTGGGTCGTGTGGGTGGCAGCCACTCGATGTGTCCCTTTCACCTTGATGTTTCTCTCTCTCTCTCTCTCTCTTCCTCTCTCTCCCTCCCACTCTATCTGAACAACAACAACAACAACAACAACAAAAATGAAAAAATGTCCTCGGGTGAGGAAAAAAAAAAGAAGGCAAGAGGCCTGAGAACAGGGTGGGCAGAATAGACCGTGTCGGGGGGCACAGGTGAAGGGAAGGCCAGAGCTAAGAGGACTTAAATTTTGAGTCTGAGCGATGAGAACATTTCCTGGCCACATAAAATTGTTTGAATTACATGAGTGCGTAAAAATAGAAATAGACTCATTACTTAAAACAACACATGAATTCAGTATTTGATAGTTGTGGGGTTCATCCGTTTAGGGTGCTTCTAAATATTCCATGAATAAATCTTTTTTAATGAGTTTAGTATTTCCCATTATAAAAATGGCACATACCCTTTGTATAAAATTTGGAAAACAAGGAGAAGTGGCAGAAAATGCTTTTAAATCGCTCCAAATTCTCTCCGTCAAATAACTGGGGCAGCAGTTGTTACAGCTGCCAGTCTGTGTGTCCGCAGGCGGCTTGGTCCTGGGGCAGAGTTTATCTCGCTCCTCCGTTTACCGCCCGCTTCCCCTTGTAGTCAGGGCAAAGCTCCTCTTTGGGTTTTATCTTAATCTTTAGTAAATAAAGGAATGTTTCTCACTCATCTGTTTGTGGAGACACAGGTACAAAGGACATCCAAGCTCTTCCTAAACAAGGTCTGTCAAAGATGACACTTACAAATGACATTCATCCCCCCTGAGGAGGAGGGAGAAAGACGTGTGACGGGCAAGGACAGCGCTCTGGTTAGAACAGCGCTCTGATCTCTGTGCTAACTGTTCACACAAGAATAAGATCTCATCACACGGTCAGTCCCCGAGGCCTCAGGGTCTGTGGATCCCGTGTGAGACGGACACACATTAACACACACATTTCAATTTTCATGGGTCAAAGTCCCCACCATGGAATTCAAATATTATGACTGGGCAATGATGATGATATCACTTTTTGCCATTTGTTTTGTGGACTGGATGAAGATTTCAACTGTATAAACCCACACACCAGATTCCCCATCCCCGACCTGCTGGCAATGTGTAGTATACACCCCGCTATTTTTATGTTCATTGTACAAACCTCTGTAAACACATTGTCTTCTTTTTATTTCTTTGCAGGAAGTTCAGAAAAAAGTGTCTCTCTTTAATCTGCAGATGGACATAAGTGGGTTAATTCCCGGTCTAGTGTCCACCTTCATCCTTCTGTCCCACAGTGATCACCTTGGACGAAAATTCCCTCTGATTTTGACCTCCGCCAGTGCTCTTGTGACCAGCGCCTGGCTCTGTCTGCTTTCCTATTTTGCCTTTCCATTCCAGTTTTTGATTGTATCTACCTTCATTGGGGCCCTTTTTGGCAATTCAACCACATTTTTGGGTGCCTCTTTCGCCTACATAGTTGATCAATGTAAAGAAGAGAAACAAAGGACCATTCGAATAGCTATCACTGACTTCCTACTTGGAATTGTTACTGGGTTAACAGGGCTGTCTTCTGGCTATTTTATTAGAGAACTAGGTTTTGTGTGGTCCTTTTTCATCGTTACTATGGCTCTTACTGTTAACTTGATTTATATTTTATTTTTTCTTGGTGATTCAATGGAGGAGTCTTTGTCTCAGACTGTCTCCATATCATGCAGTGAAGGCTTTAAAAACCTATTTTACCGAACTTACATGCTTTTTAAAAATGCTGCAGGTGGGCAGCGGTCTTTGCTCTGTTTGTTACTTTTTACAATGATCACTTACTTTTTTGTGATACTTGGCATTTCCCCCATTTTTATCCTCTATGAATTGAATTCACCGCTCTGCTGGAATGAAGTTCTTATAGGTTACGGGTCAGCTTTGAGCAGTATCTCGTTTTTGAGTAGTTTCCTAGGAATATGGGGTTTTTCTTACTGTATGGAAGATATCTACATGGCCTTCATTGGGATTGTCACCACCATGGCAGGAATGGCCATGACCGCTTTTGCCAGGACAACGCTGATGATGCTTTTAGGTGAGTTACAGATGTTGCCTTAGAACTAACTTTGTATTTGGGGTGTATATCAAATGAAAGTCTGTTGGGTGAGAAACTTTCATGTAAAATTCCGTTTAATGCATTCCAATTCCATTAAAGTTAATTTGTTAGAAGCTAGTTTGCCAGAACTGAGCATCAGTTTGCTTTTAAAAAGTAATTCACAGCCCTGGGTGTTGTGGCTCAGGGGCTAGTGTGTCAGCCCTCGCACCGAAGGGTGGCAGGTTCGATTCTCAGTCAAAGACACGTACCTGGGTTGCAGGTTCGATCCCCAGCCCCAGTCAGGGCACATGTGGGAGACAACCTATTGATGTGTCTCTTTCACATTAATGTTTCTCTCTCTCTCTCTCCTCACCCTCCTTCTCTCCCTTCCACTCTCTAAAAAAAAAAATCAATGGAAAAAATATCCTGGGGTGAAGATTAACACACACACAAAAGTAATTCACATAATAACCAGTTTTCCAAATTTGCATATTTTTTTTAAAAAATTGTTCTGAGAAACATTCTTCTTATGAGTCATTTCTTCAATATAGCTTTCACCAAATTGAGTATTTCTTTTTCTTTTTATCCTCGCTGGAGGACTTTTTTCTTTTCATTTATCTTTAGGTAGAGTGGGAGGGAGAGAGGGAGGAAGAGAGAGAGAAACATCGATGTGCGAGAGACACATCAACTGGTCACCACCCACATGACCTCAACCGGGGCCGGGGACAAACTGCAACCGAGGTATGTGCCCTTAGTGGGAACCGAACCCAGGACTCTGGTCCACGGGCCGATGCTCTAACCGCTGAGCCAAACCGGCCAGGGCCAAATTGAGTATTTCTTAAAATGCTGCAAAGAAGGCTATTTTCTGTAAAAAAAAACATTTTAAGAATGATATAGTCTACAGATTTAGAAGAAAAATTCATATTCACTGAAATACATTCAAGAAAAAAATTCTTTATGCCAAGGGTTTGCATATTGATCTTTTGACAGATTGGTCATTTCATAAATTAGCTTTAGATGAATCACTTTTTGACAGATTGGACTGCTACCTTAACGACCTACTGCATAAGTGGTTTTTGTAGGGCTTGAGTAAGGTGCTGCGTCTGAACGGGCTCTGGGCCCGCGGGGAAGGCCAGTGTGGTCCCTGCAAAGGCAGCGTCAGCCTCTTGCTGGCTCCGGGGAAGCAGGGGACCAAACAGAATGGGGCTTAATTTTCATCTCCAGCGCTAGATGATCCTGAGCAGGTTAATTAAATACTCTGAGCCCTCGTTTTTTTCCATCTATAAAATGGACATAGTACTACCTAATTCAGAGGATTATAATGAATATTAGGAGAGATTAGCACAATGTCTCATATACAGTAAATGCTAGTTCTCCTTGAAGTTGCCAAGGCAAAGTAAGGTCCTCTATGTGGAAACATGTTTGAAAACTTTAAAGTGATCTGCAAATGTAATATATTACATTTTTATCATATTCCCCAAAATACTACTGACTATTAAAGGTCATAATTTATGGCCAGATGCAGTTTGTGTCCATGAAGTTTTTCAGCCACAATGATGAACAAGCAAGAAGATAAAGAACCAATTTATCAATAAAAGAAACAGTATAATAAAAGAATGCTAACACTAAAAATGCCAAGTCTCCAAAATCAAAAACAGAGAAAACTAATTAACGGTCTCAACGTGCTACACAAGAGGTTACTACAATAATTAGGGAAATGGAAGATCAGTCCCCGCTGGCGGGTCTGGCCCTCAGACTTCCGTGAACTCTTGCTCTTAGCACTGGAGTTAAGAATTTGAGGGTGAACTGGCCTTAGACTGGCCTGTCTATAGTCCGCCTTAACTCATTAAATAGAATTCTACAATTCATCCAGTCTTTAGATGCAGTGGCTTAGGATGCTTATAGAAATAAGATATTAGACAGAAGGTGTTTTGCGTGGGAACCGCGTGCTCTGACTGCCCCACTCCCCTCGCAGTCCGGCTGCTCTTCCTCTTCACCATCGTGCCGCTCTCAGTTCTACGGTCCATGATGTCAAAAGTGGTTCGTCCTACTGAACACGGTGAGTGTGATTTGCTTAAGGAATAGAAGAAATCTAACCTATACCAACTCAAATCTACGTACAATCAGTGTCTGCTTCTTCGGAGTGTTCTCCAGCCCCTTTTCTGCACGGACTCCTTTGGATCGAGTGGTGAGTTCTGTGTTAGGGAGGGGCTTCTACTCAGACGAGGGAGCCTCTGCCCGAGGTTTCATGCTTCGGAAGGCTTGCCCTGGCCAGCCCTGCCCCCGCAGGAGAGGAGACCTCAGGGCCAGGCTGATATGCCCTCTGGGAGCCCACACCACCTCTCTCCTTCTGCACTCTGGGTGCCTGGGTCCCCTTAATTCCCAGACAGACAGCTCTGGGCTCATCTCCAGCGATGCCTGCTCGAGCTTCTTCCTCAGACCCTTGCTCCCGAAGGAGGACTGTGACCCCGGCGTGCTCACCTCGCGACCAAAGGGGTAGCCAAGCAGTGACTCTTCATGGGAGACCTGGCCTGCCCTTGGAATGGCAGGGCCATGTGTAAAGGGCCCTTGCTGAGCCGGATGGGGCAGGAGATAGAACACACGGTGGGCTGAGCCCGCAGCGGGGGCCGCAGGGCCGAAGGCCCGCTCTCCCGCTGCTGTCGGCTGTCTCAGGGAATTCTGAAAAGTCTGAGGGTGGAAAGCTTATGTCTGCTCCTCCAAATCATTACACAGGCACATTTCTCAGAGTGGGAAGACAGAACATATCTCAGCTAACAGTATGTTAGCCAGAATTATAGCTTTTAAATACCTAGAATATAATATGAAGGCCTCTGATCGTATTGTTATGCTGGGCCTGAGTCAGAGCCCTGGAGCCAACAGGACCCCTCTCAGGTGGTTGCACAGAGACGCCGGAGGCACAGGAGAGAGAAGCGTGCGGTGTGGAGGCGCCCAGGCAGGCAGGGAGCAGAGAAGACACCGCAGCCTTTTTCTCCTCATTCGCCCCCCTGACCAAGTGCAGGAGGAGGTCCCGTGAAGGGAGTCCAGCTCAGGGAGTCCAGCTCACGGTTTGGGAGGTGAGCCCCCACGCACAGAGCAGGGCAAGAGGAGCAACGAGCTGAAGGGGCGACAGAATAACCAGTGCAAAAGAAAAACAAAAATTGAAGTTCTAGTTAGAACTCGTTACTGGTTGACTATCAGGCATATGGGGTTGTCCTCCTTCCCCTTTGTGTCCCCTGACTTATTTCAGGCCTTGCCCTGGTGACATGTTCATATTAACTGTTTATGAATAATTCACAGTTATGCTATTCTATTTATGGCCGTTCAGTCAAACACTGGGGAAGATGGCATAATTCAATAAATTAAAAAATATATTTCTTGATTCTTTTCCTCTCATAAGATGTAGTGGTATATTCACACCGCTGTTTATAGATTATGTGATGATAAGTGGAAAACCACTGAAGAATATACAAATTTGTACGTATAGTAAGTAAAAATCTACTTGCTTCCTTGAATTATGCAGCGGCTATGACACCAAAAGCACAACAGCAAAAGAAAAAAATGATAAATTAGACTTTATTCCAATTAAAACCTTTTGTCCACCATCAAGAAAGTGAAAAGATGACCCACAGAATGGGAGAATATATTTTCAAATCATATGTCTGACAAGGAACTTACATGCAGAATATATAAGACTTCATAAAACTCAATAGCAAAAGGACAACCCAATTGAAAAATGGACACATATTTGAATAGGACATGTCTCCAGAGAAGATATACAAATGGCCAATAAACACATGAAAAGATGGTTAGCATTATTGGGCATCGGGGACAAGCAGATCAAAACCACTAAATGGCTAAAATGAAAAAGACGGTGTTGGTGAGGATGTGGAGACACGGACCCTCATACACAGCTGGTGGGAGTGTGCAGTGATACAGCCATTTTGCAAACACAGTGTGGTAGCTCCTCAGAAAGTTAAATAGAGTTAGTGACCTGTGACTCTGCAATTCCATTCCTAGGTATGTACCCAAGAGAAATGAAAACACATGTTCACCCGAAATTGTGTACACAGATGTTCACAGCATCATTACTTATAATAGCCAAAAAAGTAAAGCAATGCAAATGTCCGTGAACTGATGAATGAATAAGCAAAATGTAGTATATCGGTCCAATGGAATATTATTTGGCAATAAAAAGAAATAAAGTACTGATCCATGCTACAACATGGATGAACCTTGAAATCATTATGCTAAGATTAATGATTCCTTTCTTGAAAGAAGCTAATCACAAAGGCCACATGTTATATAAATATGATTGCATTTATATGACATAGTCAGGAAAAGCAAATCCACAGAGACAGAAATTATATGAGTGCATTCCAGGGGCTGGGGAGAGGAGGAGTGATTGCTGATGGGTACAGGGCTTTTTGGGGGCGAGGAAAACATTCTAAAATTAGATGGTAGTGATGGTTGCAGGTGCCCAACTCTGTGAACACACTTAGAGCCACTGAACTGGGCAGTTAAAGGGGCGTTTACGGCATGTGAATTACATCTCAGGCTGTTCAGGGAAAAAACAAAAGTCCTACCTGCTTGACTTAGAGCCAACATAGACTGGTCAAGATGCATAGTCTATTTTTGTTTATATTTTGTTTCATTTACTTATAAAGGCTTTAAAAAAGTCATCTCATATTGTTAAATGTACTGACATTTTTAAATGTTTAGTTTACACTGAGGACTTTCCTATTCTGAATTGTGGTAACTTTTAGCTTTATCCTATTGTCTTTGGAGCTACTATGTATTGTATATAAGGGACTTGAGCATCCACGGATTTGGGTATCTGCGGGGGTCCTGGACCCAATGGTCCACAGACAGGGGACAACTGTAGTTAAGTTTTCGACCGTAGGGGGTGGGGGAGCAGCACCCTTAATCCCTGTCTTGTTCAAGATCAATGTATTGTGTTTTCAGCATCTCACACATGAAGTCGAAGGAGAACTCTTGACCTCAGTTTCTTCACCCACAAAATGGGTTACTGACTTCTCAGGGATTTTGAGGGACTAGTTTTCATTCACCAAGTAGTGCCCCCATGTTTGTTCTTTTCAATGAATACATTTGGTTTTTTTTCCATTCGTTTTTGTTTGTTGTGTAACTCAGCCTTTTTTTTCCTCCCCCTGAACCCCCACCCCAAACAGGGACCCTGTTTGCTTGCATTGCTTTCTTAGAGACACTTGGTGGAGTCACTGCAGTTTCGACATTTAATGGGATTTACTCAGCAACTGTTGCGTGGTACCCAGGCTTCACCTTTCTGCTGTCTGCTGGTCTGTTACTAATTCCAGTGATCAGTCTATGGTATGTACCTGTTTTTAATCATTTTATCAAAGGATGGCTGAATTAAATGAATCCCCTAACCTCACCAGTAAAAGTGCATAGATCTGTTGAAGTTTGGCCTCAGAATGTGCTTTTCTCAAAAAATTTACCCATGAAGCCCTGGCCATTTTGGCTAAGTGGTTAGAGCGTTGGCCTGCGGTCCAGAGAGACCCAGGTTCGGTTCCCGCTAAGGGTGCATACCTCGGTTGCAGTTTGTCCCCGACTCTGGCTGGTCGTGCGGGTGGCAGCCACTCGATGTGTCCCTTTCACGTCGATGTTTCTTTCTCTCTCTCTCTTCCTCTCTCTCCCTCCCACTCTATCTGAACAAAAAGTGGGAAAATGTCCTCAGGTGAGGATTAAAAAAAAAAAATTTACCCATGAAGACATCTGTCAATAATTTTGAAGACAGGAAAAAAGAGACAGCGACATGGCTGACCAGAACTAGGAAAAAGATAATTGGTCAGTTAGAGACTCTGAGAAGTTGACCCTGTCTCTTTAAATATGAGCAATTGATTAAATTAGCATCTAAGAGAAGATACATCTCTGTATATAGACAGAGAGAGATTTAAACTATGATTTCCTAGAGTGTAATGTCCCCTGATGGTCAAGGATTTGGATTCTTGGATACTGATAAGAGCAGAGAGCAGCACTCAATACTGGACATTCTTTTTCCAGACAGTTGGCTTATCTAGTGACTCCGTTTTTAATTGTCCTTATCCAATAAATACCAAGTACAAAATGCTGTTGATGAATAGTACATAGAATGAAGAGATTAGGCCAGAGGCATAAACATACGAGAGATAATTTATTTCTCGCTTCGCCTTTTAATTAGCAGAAAAGCTAATTAGGTAAGTGGTTGCTCAAGTGCCCAAAAACTTTTTATTTGACCCATTCTTGGGGCTAAACCTTGAGCTGAGAGCTCACTCACCTGCCTCCACTGGACTTGGCCGACTCCCCGTGGTGACAGCGTGGTCGTGATGCCGCAGGGGAGAAGGTGGGGCCCAGCCTTCGGGCACTGCTGTCCTCTCCAGCACTGTGGGAGGTGGCTGTGGGCACAGGAGGGCAGGACCTGTGTGCCCGGCCGCAGGCATTCCCCCAGGACTGTGACCTCCTTAGAGGGCTGGCCCTTGTCTCGTTCATGGTAGGACCTCAGTACATACTGTCTCAGGCGAGTTCTGGTACCGCGGTCTGTGTGAGACAGAGTGCAGTAGTGTTTACAGTTCCTCTGTAATTTTGATGAAAAGTGATTTTTACTAGGCATCTTTTTAAAAAAGAGATGATCAAATTGGCAAAATTGAAAGTACCTGGTCTGCTAGTGAGCACATGATGAGGCAGTCAACCTTCTACACTGCTGGGAGCAATGTTATTCAGCACTCATTTTCGGAAAACAGTTCAGAAACACATCATCAAAAGCCTTCTCAGAAGTCCATAGTGTTTGACCCAGTGATTCCTTTTAGAAAGCTATCCTAAGGAAATGATCAGTAAGGTCAAGATTTATATATAAAGAAGTTCATTATGGCAATAAAAGTCTTAAGTGACCAAAGTGTCCCACATGGTTAAATATAGTGCATCCATAGCATGAAAAGCGCTACAAGAAGTGCCTGCGTGGGGAGTAGAATCGTGGGTGCTCTTCATTTCCGTCTTCATACACTTACAGGTGTTCGGTTACAGACACGCCACTTCTGTAACTGGAGCAGGCGGCGCCGCTGGGTAAAAGGCAGTTATCCCTTTCATAATGCTTCCAAGAGCGTCAGTGCAGGTGGTCTTCTGAGAGGTTTTTACCCTGTACTGTTCAATATTTTTTAAATTAAAATTACACGCTGTTTTTATTTCCAGGTGGCCCGTTGCCCTAGGTTCGGTTACAGCTTTGGACATGGACTTCAGTCCCAGCTTTAGTCATAACTGTTTTTTGTGGACTACTCAGAGTAGACAGGGGGCCAAGTGCACATTTTAGGGCTCTGGAAGAAAAAGAACATGTAGTTTTATTTATTTATTTTTTTTGTGGTACGTGCCCCTTGCACCGAACCCGGGACTCTGTGGTCCGCAGGCTGACGCTCAATCGCTGAGCCAAACTGGCCAGGGCAAGTACATGTAGTTTTAGATTCTTTTCAGAATGCTATGGACAATGAGCCTGTTAGACTCAAAATACCAGTACAGTGATACCTCGGTTCTCGAACATAATTCGTTCCAGGAGGACGGTCGAGAACCGAATTGTTCGAGAACCGAAGCAATGAAACCCAATAGGAAAGCGGACTCCACAAAGCGTGACTCTCTCTCTGCACTCACACTGATGACGCCAGCAAGGCGCGCTGGGCCGAATGAACGCCATTCGGCTCAACTCGGAAGTTCGAGTTCCAAATATTTGTTCGGATTCCGAGACAAAAGTTTCTCGAATCCTGATTTGGTCGAAAACCGAGGCGTTCGAGAACCGAGGTATCACTGTATGTTCTTTCTATGTATAATCTGCATAATTTATCAGAAGCCATGTAACAGGGGAAAGTGGAGTACAGACTGTTTAGGTGTTGCCTTAGTCACAATTTAAAATGTCCTGTTTGCTTGTACAGTGTCGTCAAGTGCCGCAGCTGGAACAAGAGAAGCAACGCACTTCTTATCCAAGAAGAATCCAATGAAGACGCTTCGGACCAATGATGCATTGTGATTTCAAAACCATGCACATGCCATGTACTCTGGCTTCTGAGACACACAGCCCGGCTGCGTCATCAGTACTTCAGGAACAGTCAGTGTTACGTGTCCTTTCTTCTGAGAGGAGTACAGGCTCCAGCTCCCGCAGGTCCGAGCACTTAGAGCACTTTATGAACATGTGTGACGTATCTCCAGCACGGAGAACGCATCTCAAAGCGCTTCCCCTTTTTGGATTTACAAAAGGAACTGAAACTTAACAGTATCAGGAGGGATTAGGACCTTTGATATGATCAAATGCAATAATCAATACAAATACTCCAACTCTCATACTGAGACCAAGGAGAACGCATTACCTCAGTTTCTTCATCTGTAAAATGGGTTTCTGACCTGTCTCCAGGATTTTGAAGGACAACTGTCGAAAATTATGATGAGTCATTCATCGATAAGAAAATAATAATGGAAGTTTCAAATATTCATAATTTTACCTCTACATAGGTAATGTTTTGTTTTATAGAGCCCATCAAGGTGCTGTTGATAGTGAAGGCTTTTAATGGATGCAAAATCCTTGAAGAATACATATTTTCACTTCTCTTAATATGTTTCATCAGTGACAGGCATGATAATATTTCTGTATGTAACAAAGGAGTAATTGGAAAAAAAAATCAGGTTATAAATAAAATGGTTTCTAAAGAAATGTAAAATGGAGAAAACAGTCATTTGGGAAGTAAAGTAATATTATAGCACCAGTCTTTGTTCCTTATTTCTGTCAAAGGGTAGCCATTTCTTACTGCCTTACACCCATCCTGGGGTCTACCCTGGTCCCTGAAAACTCCGCATTGTTTCATCTTTTACACACTTGCCCTTCCTCCCTGGCGACAATGAAACTTCTATGTCTCAGCCAAACTGTTGCTTCCTCTGTGAAGCCTTGACATCTGTGCCCGCGCCTACCCCCTGCCCCGCCCAGCGTCCTGCAGAGCCCCGCAGCTCTGTCTCCTTCTGTCCTGGCATGTGTCGTGGCTCTGTGATGTGTGTTTCCCCCATGGGACAGGAGCACCTTGAGGAGAGGGACAATCTGATTCCTCATTGTATCCTCAATAAATGTTTGTTAAACCAAATGCAAAATTTTGTTTTCACTGGTAAAAATCATTTAAAGCTACAGATTTAATGCATCAGGAGAGTAACCGCTGATACTTATTAAGCCAGCCTTGCAAGTAAATGGGAAAATATGGTAGCCCGTGCGCTTTTTAAATTGGTTGATGGTACTTTTCACAGGTCCTTCGGTATCTCCCATCTTCTAAGTTACCACATGTAATAACACCAGTGCCTTGAAGCAGAACCAGCTGATTAACTGCTTTGTACTCTTGAAAGCAGATAGCCTTCTGTTTGATAGCATTGCTTGTGGCTTTTTCCTACAGGGAAATCAGCGATTGCCTAACCAGCAAATAGCACTCATCATTTAAAATACTAGACATTCTTGCCCGGGCTGGTGTGGCTCAGTGGGTTGGAGCGTCATTTCACGTGGGTTCCATTTCCAGTCTAGGTTTCGGGTTCGATCCCCAGTCAGGGCACGTGTGGGATGTGTCTCCTACTTCGATGTTTCTCTCTCTCTCTCCCCCACTTTCCTCTCTCTCTAAAATAATAATGATGATGATAATAATAATGATAATAAAACACCAGGAGTTCTTATTTCCAAGACCATTCCTCTCAGGTATTGGAGCCCATGTAAGAATTGAGTAATGCTCAGGTTTATTTTTGTTTTCCTTCCTGTGCAATGCTCATTCCAAACCCAAAGAACAAGTACTTTCCTGTTTACAAAGTGTGTTCTCATCACCTAAGTTCATCCTCTCAATAACCCTGTCTCACAGAGCTTCATTTCCGCACTTTGCAGACAAGCAGGATGAGTCCCACAGGGACGTGACTTGACCAGTAGGCAGCAGCCCTGCACAGGGACGGACTTGGTCCTGCTGAGGTTCTTCCCAATTAGGTGGACGCCTGGCAGGTTATAAATCCAATATCAAGAATTGTGTCAGCTAGAGTATGAGATGACCCCCCCCCAAAAAAAAACCCCACACTAGCACTATCTATACCCAACCACAGTGCCGGCAATATTGCCTCTTGAAGTTAGGCGAGATGGTCTGTGATAGCCTCCCCTCCTGCCCGGCCTGCCACGGTTTCGCACACTCCAGCCGAACTGAAGAGAGCACAGGTGATGCTGTTTAATACGCTGGAGGGTGGACAGATGACTCAGTTGAGCAAAAAGTACTTGAGATGTAGTGAAGTATATCAGGGGACTGGATTGAGGTGGCCCAGGGTAAAAATACGGCCTGAGTGAGCTTAGTGATCTCCAAAGTGACTATCCTAAGAGGTTAGTGAATGGGATGCTGAAGAGAGGGACGTGCCTGCTGAAGGAAGGGGGTACACAGCTAAGGCAGAACTGGGCAAAAAGCCACCATCTAATCTCCTGTAACGTAACCTGTTTGCCTGATTATCAGAAGAAAGTATACTAACGGAGTGACTTTTTCTTATGAAGTTCATACAAAGAGAAACAGAAAGGAAAAACGTGTTCCTTTTATGGAGCACTGTTACTAGGGGGGTTAGATATACCATATCTAATAGAAATGAATATTGTCATCACTAGAGAGGGTATGTTTCTTTAAGGCTGGACTCTTCAATAGGATTACTGCAGCCTGCATTGCACTGCCGCAAATATCCCTTTTCTCCACCCCTGTGGTCACTAAATAATCCTTTGGTTACTCAATCAATATCCAACACTCTTGCTAATAAGAATAGGTCCCCTAGGTTTAGTTCTCTTTTAAAGAAATGCCTGTATCTCAGAACCACCTGAGGAAATTACAGACGTGCCTGGAGATTCTAATCAGTCCGTCTGGAGGGGGGTCGTGGAAGCTACTTTGAAAACCTCCCCAGGTGACAGATGCACATCCAGATGTGGAAACCACTGCCCCAGATGAGTACTTGTCATCCCTAAATGCACAAGAGCATAACTAGAGTGGGGTGGAAAGTAAAACACACAAATACCAAGCCAGTGGTTCTTAGTCTCTGCTGCCAGGTGGAGTCGCCAGGGGGCCCTTTACCACCCCCACGCCCAGGTGCTAGTCCACGCTGAGGTCAGAATTTCTGGGAGGGGGAGGCAGACGTTCATTTTTCAAATGTTCTCCAGGTGATTCCAGTGTGCAGGCAGGGCTGAGAATCACTACTATAGATGAGAGGCCAGAGAGTAAATGTTTTAGGCTTTGTGGGTCAGGTCATCACAGCACAAAGCAACCTCAGACCATACAAAAAAAGACCGTGCTTGGCTGTGCTCCAACAGAGCAGCCAGCTGAATTGGGCCATGGGCAGTAGTTTGCCCAATACCTGCTCTACATGGAAGACACGTATTCTGGTTACTGGAGAGGTGTGTCCTTCTATGTAATTATTGACATTTTAGAGTATAGAATGCATAAAATAGTGTAAACATGAAACTCTTGGTACATACAGTACCCGGCTGAGTGGGGGCTTGAAAAATAAGTCTTATTTGATTAGCTTGAGGCTGAACCAGGTTGATTCTGGCTGCAGTGACAGAAGTTTCTGGACCTACATGGCTTCTGATCATTACTTAGGGATTGCTTTCTTAGGGATGATATGTTCTTAGGATATGATCAAGATGGGACCTAGCCCAAACAGTTTCATTGCCAAACAGTTAAGGAATAAACAAATCAATTCTACACAAGTGTTCCCAGAAAATAGAAGTGAGGAACACTTCTCAGCTCATCCTTTGAGGTCAGCGTTATCCTGACGCAAAACAAGACAAAGAAATTACAAGGAAAACAACTAAGTTTAGGGAACCAAAAAGAGTAATAACAATTCTCCAGCTTGGAGACCGTCCGTGAAGTGTTCAAATCTGTTTGCATCACCTACCTTGTCTTACAAGGAAGTAGGTAGAGTCCACAGCTTGCTTGGCACTTGGCGAGTGGCTGACTGCATAACTGTGTTTTTGGTCAAGAGGAGCATTTACAGGGACATGAAAGTTAGCTAAGTTTCCATATGATGTGGCAACTGGGCAGGGGAAACTCCATCTTGGGCCTAGAAAGTTATTTCAACACTACAGAGTAATAGTCCTCTTGAGGCTTCTGTAGGTTGGTTTGAGGATTTGAACTTGTTATTTACTTGCCTTCAGGCAGAAGCAGCCACCCCACCATTCAGGCGTCTCCACGTTCCGGTTGCTCAGACCTCGCTATGCATTGGCCGCGTGACTTTCGGTGCCTTGGGAGAGCTGCTTACAGCTGCCTGCCAACGAAGCCCCGCCCCCGCCCAGGTGCACTGCCTGCTGCCTCAGTCTGACAGCTGATCCCGGGTTCTCACAGCTCCGCGATGAAAGGTTTAAACAGAACACCGTGCCCCTCTTTGAGCCTTTTATGTTCCTTTTGTCTTCTGTTAGATTTTCGGAATACAGTGCCTGCTTGTAAGCCAGGTGAGGATGGAGCAAGGCTATGGCTGCCCTCGCTTGTCCTGATCTCTGACTTTCTCATGCCGTCGGGCAAAACATCAGTGGTGTTAAGGTCAGCAGTGTTTCTCCTGCGGCTAACACAGGATTTATTTGGTATGAACTTCCTTGGTAATCTATGAGTCCATAGGATACCTCAGGGAAAGAGAAATGGGGAAAACCTGGCTTCATAAACTTGTCAGCCAAAACATGTTCTTTGCTCATGGCCAATCTATTTCAGTTCTCTGGGGACGTGTTCCCTCCAACGCCAACTGTCAGATGCGTTACCCTATCACTCAGATAGCCTGACCACAAGAGCCGATTCGAGCAAAACAGCTAAAAGCAAGCCCTGGGCGGTTGCTCAGTGGTTAGAGCACCGGTCTGCGGAGAGTCCTGGGTTTGCTTCCCGCTAGGGGCATGTACCAAAAAAATAAATTAAAAAATAAAAGCAATGCCTTACTGGAAAGTGGCATCAGAAATCTGAATACTGATTGGACATCTAATTATAAGGAATTACTGTTAAGTTAGGTATGATAATAGTACTGTGGTAATGTTAGTTTTATACACTGAAATATTTACACATAGAAATGATGTCTGGAATTCCTTTCAAAATAATATTGTAGGGAAAGTAGGAGGAAATTCAAGGAGCTAGATGGTGGAAACATGAGATCATACTGTTTTTTTCTATCTACTTTTGGATGTTTGAAATTATGATAACTATAACTACAGTATCACGAGTATATTCAATATTCTGTGAAATACCATTAATCTTTAGAATTAATACCATTAATGCCAAAAGTTAAATTTAGCACTTTAACCCCAATGTAATTTTATTTTCAAATTGAAGGTCTAAGTATTCAATAAATGTAGAAATAATGGAATATCACATTTTTTCAGCCCTCTCCTATCCCCAACGACCATGTTATAAATGACTGAAGGGAAGATTTTTCATAGATGCTAAAACCTCTGGGTGAAAGGTTCTTGGAAACAAGACATACTCGGGTCTTCAATTTTTTACTCCACAGATTTACACATTACAGAAGAAACTGCGTTCACAGAGGAGCACTCTGGTGGCCACACCTGCTGACCAAGTGACCACACTTAGCGACTCCACTGAAGACACACCTGTGGCTCCTGTTGTGCCGCGGCAAGAAGTCCATGTCACCACCTTTGTAGATTCTTGCCAAAAATATGTATCTTGAGTCTACTCAGGAGGAAATTAGAAAAGATGTTGATAATTGGTGAGTCTATGTGAAGGTTATCTGGGGTGTTCATTGTATTGTTCTTTCAGTTTTTCTCTAAGTTAGAAATTGTTCACAATAAAAAGTTGCTGAAAATATAATGTAGCATATTGTTTTGCAAGATTTCTATGTAATACAGGAGAGAGAGAGGAAAAAAGGTGGCTTAAGTATTGCGTTAGAATCAAGCGATCTCTCCTAAGTTAAAGCAGAATTCCACCTGTCCTCCGGTGTCCCAACTCCGCCCCTCCGCTTTGCGGCTGTTCCCTCAGAGAGGAACACAGCTTCCTGTCTCCACAAGGCCAGACACCGAGCTGACAGAGGACAACTGACGAAGCACGTCTGCTGACTCCAGAAACAAATGGAAGATCTGGAAGCAAACTCCAAATTTTCAAAACTTGGTGTTTTTTTTTTTTAAGGAAAAAAGATGTTAAAGACTCTTCCATTTTTTTTCAATTAGAAAAAAAAAAAACCTGCTGAAATTCTATTAAACTAACAGTACATTCTCATTCTTTAATATGATTTAAGGGTCTATAATAAGTCAAACTAAAAGTACAGGTTCTTAATGAAGCATTGTTTTACGTGAAGGCACCGATTTCAATTTTGAAATCATGAGCTAAACACGTCCAATGAAGTCATGGCGTTTTTGGTTTTGCTTTATTGAAGGAGTCAAAATGTATGCTTAGATTTCAAGTGTTTGAAAAGAAAGTAACCAATTGTAGATTCCAGTGGAAGATTATATACAAGGTGTTTCCATTTTTCAAAGTCATCTACTTGTTCAGATCATCATTCACTTTCTTGCATCTGCATCAGAGAAATAAAATGCAGGAACACTGGATCGAACTGATGTGTACTCTTGGAACAGGGTAGCACCCCGCCAAGGGACAACTGCTGAGAAATGATACGGCTATCATTTATATTTTGCACAGAGGGTAAGAAGAGATGAGTTTAGTGGAAGAGCTCCATGGTGTGCTAAACAGTGCCAATTCTTTCTGCCACACCCAAACACTTCCAAACAATAAAACCCACACGTTCTTTTATTCTCATATAGACTGAAAGGCTTCATATAGAATTAGGTTGCACCCTCATTAGGTATGTTTCTCTCTTTTATTGTGAATTTTATCACTAGTGTTAAGAAAATAAATTTTAATCAGCCACCAACCTACAAAATTCCTCTTGAACTCAAAGATTAGTATTTTACAAGCAAAACAGAGACAATGAAAATACTAAACTAATTCTTCAATAAAACCAGAATCTAAAGGGAAAAAAAATGCCTAATTGAAGAATTGGCACGTAGGCAAGTAACTCGAGACTTACAACTGACTCTTTCCAAGGAACGTGAATAATTACCTGTAGATTAGAACATTTTCAAAATAAAAAGTCGGTGAAAATATGTGGTTTATGCTTTGCAAGGGTTCTATGTAACACAAAAAACAAATTATAAGGATAATTTAAGTCTTGAGTTAAAATCAATCCATCTCTCCAAAAGTAAGCCTTGCCAAAGTCAAAGCAGAAATCCACCTGGTTCCCCAATGACCCAAAACAAACACTACAGACTACAGACATTAAGAAACATTAGCTCTGGCCGGTTTGGTTCAGCGGTTAGAGCATAAGCCTGCGGACCTGAGAGACCCAGATTCAGTTCCCACTAAGGCACGTGCCTTGGTTGAACTTTGTCTCCCGCCTCAGTCGGGGTCGTGTGGGTGGCAACCACTCGATGTGTCTCTCTCATGTAGATGTTTCTCTCTCTCTTCTCCCCCTCTCCCTCTGGCTCTATCTGAAGATAAATGCAAAAATGTCCTTGGGTGAGGTTTAAAAAATAAAAAAAGTAAACTTTTCAACACTGAGTAATTAACTGATGCTCAAGAATGTCACTTCTTGAAAGCAAGCATATAATCAAAGCTTCTCAACCCTGGAGAGCTTTTCAAAAGTACACTTCCTGGGACCTACTTCAGAGTAGTCCTATTGGGATTTCTGAGATCTCAGATCATGACACCAAAATTTCTTCCCAAGACTCCCAGGTGATTTTACGTGCATCCAGGGATAAGGATTTCTGGTAAAAGTAGAAAGAAGATGAAAGACGAAAAGGAGAGAGAAGCAAAAAGACCTTCAGAAAGTAAACACTAATCATGATTCCTAATTTCTGTGTTTAAAAGTATCCGCTTTTCCTTTTAAACTGTCATAAATTTCATAGTGCCCTCTACTGGTCAGGAAGGGTACCTACTATTGCTAGAACTAGGACAAGACATCTGCAACTTTGCTTTTTGAAAGTGAATATATCTAGAAACAATCAGTAAACCTTCATTTTTTCCCTATATTTTCTCATAATTGTCAAATTGGTTGACAAATATTGTGGTGGCAAAGATGGTTTTAAACTTAGTAACAGGAACAATTAAAATGTGTCATTTCGTTTACATCAAGGTTTGTCAACTTTGACACTACTGACATTTGAACCAAATGCTTCTTGGCTGCAGGGGGCAAACCCTGGATGTAGACTGTTATGTAAAACTCAGTAGTAACTTTTTTTAAGACACAGAGGGCTATTGTTTCAATATAAACTTGGAGTATTTATTTTACATAGTCTTCCTTTAGTACTTTCAGTTCTTTACATGACCAGAAGTCTATATCCTACATGTTGAAGCATGTTTGGCAGCATCCCTGGCCCCTACCCACGAGCAGTCCCGTCTAAAACTGTGACAACCAAAATTCCCTTCTGAACATTTTCAAATGTCCCCAGCCCCTCGAGGGGAGGGGCAATGTTGCTTTCAGTTGCAAATCAACGACTTATTCAATAAAGATGTTTCTGGGGACGTGAGAATGCATAACGATGTGTGGTAGGTAGTACCTCATGGTGGTTTTGACTTACATTTCTCTAATAATTAGTTGATGTTGAACATCTTTTCATGTGCCTGTTGGCCATCTGTGTATCTTCCTTGGGAAAATGTCTATTCAGATCCTCTGCCCATTTTCCAATTGGGCTGTTTTTTATTGAGTTGTAAGAGTTATTTATATACTTTGAATATTAACCCCTCATCAAAAAAATATAAAAACTGATCATTAAAATGTATTTTTAATTAGTAAAAGATGGTCCATTCACTAATTAAATCTCAAAATCTTTAATTTCTGTATATCAGGTTCATAAAGAATAGCGTATAAGAACCACTGTAGTGAAGATTTATCTTTAAATAAATTTTAATGTAACTTGTTTATGGAAACATAGTATGTGTGCATACATGAATGTTCTGACCTGTTTTTAAGCATCTTGTGACATATAAATCTATGCAGTGCACTTTGACACCTGCTGGTTGCTTTAATTTCTCACTTTAAAAACAAGACTGAAATCAAAACCACTGAACTTACACTTTTCAACCTGAAAGAATCAAATAATAGCTATAATTCTAAAGTAGCTTCAACAAAGCCAACAGTATTCTTATAAGTACTAATGGACTATATTGAAACAAGGTAAATAAAAATATCTGATTTTGTACTTAATCTGAAGTGTTACCACTGAACTCCATTACAGATGTTTACTCTGACAGAGGCTACCATGAAGACTACAGTCAAATACTGATGATGGTTATTCAAATTTCAATTTATGGAATACCTTGAATAGGTATTCTAATAGGCTGAACTGGAACCTGCTGTCAGTTTTACAATATTCATTAGCAGCAATTTTTTAAAAGACATAAAAGGCTATTGTTTTAATATAAACCAGGACTTTTAAAATCATCTCTAGCACTTTCAGTTGTCACATGGTCATAAACCAAAGACCCAAATAATTTCAAATGCTGATAATACTTAGGCAACAATGCGCACGTGTCAGTACGTTTAATGTTGTATACATAAAACGATAATAAAAAGATGACTATAAACAAGATGCCGCCCCTCCATTTCCGTGGTCAGCACACTGCGTTACAGTAAACCAAGTTTATGTTCCACCATCAAGTGTGGTTCTCCCATTAGTTCACTTTGTGATGGGTCTGAAAATAAACAGAAACACATATTAAAGATCCCCAGAACAAGATAAATTCAATGATTCCACCACAAGAAAATCTAGAACAAGCAAAACTAATCTCAAGTGACAGAAAACAGACCAGTGGTTGCCTGGGGAAAGGGGGGGGGGGGGGGGGACTGACTGCAAAGAGACCAAGGAATATTCTCGGCTTCCCAGATGCCTCTAGGAACAAGCTCTAATTAAGCGATGAGGCAATCTCTTCATCTAAATTGCAAAACCATTTTCTCTCTATTGTTTTGTGCTCTGTTGCACACACAAACACACACACAAGCATAAATCAGAATTCTAGAGCCAGAAAGTATGAACAACCTTCACTCCTTTTATGGATGAGTCAGTCAAAGATTTTAACTGTAATAATATACCTAAAAGAGCTTTTAAAATTAGTACCAAGAGTAAGCTTCCTTGAGACAAATAAAGCCTATTTTCTTTTTTGCCTCATATTCAACAGAATGAAAACCCCAAAACTGTAAAATCAGTTTGTAAAAATAAATATCCACTCACATTAAAATAAAGATTACCAAGAGTTACTTACTGATCAACTTGGATGTCCCTCACTGGATCTCCCAAGAGACTGGAGGTTATGCTGACTGTATCAGTTCAGCATCTAATCTACCCTCCCCACACTTGCTACTCCACAAAGTAGTCTTAGCAACAACCGATACTGCTACAATTGCTAATAAACTGCCATGTATAATAACAGACATTCAAAATCTAACTTAAATGTCAGCACACAAGTAGAAAGAATAAGCAAAGATGCTTGCTGCAGCCCTGCTTTGTGCTAACGAGTGACAGAAATGCAGGCACCCACCAATAAATGTACCGATGTATCACACATCCTCCAAGATACACAGTACTATACCAGTGTGTTAAAAACTAAACACTAAACAATGCCAAATATCTTCAGACTGTAAGTTTGCTTGAGGACACACAGGAGGACACACGCTAACAGCAGCAGGCAACCAGAGAATGAGGGAGAGAAATGGGTCTGGGGGTAATCATGAACGACCTGAGTTTGGGCTATATTGTTTTAAATTTTTAAATGAACAACAAATTCACTTAGATAACAATTTCTTTTAAACCTGCTGTTTTAAGCTTTTGGCTTTAATAAAATATGTACCTGTTAACAAGTCCCTTGCCCCAGAAAACAGCACACACGTAAGAAAGGCCTGCCTGCGGCTCCAGCGCTGCTGTGCCATGAGCTCACACTGAGACTCGGGCAGGGCGGCGCCTCTGGCTCAGCCTGTTACTCATCTTCAAGTGAGGGACCGCAGTGAACGAAGGCCCTTTTCGGCATTAAGGGCGAATCTATTCCCGACTTTACTACTGCCCTCCTCACATGCCCTTCCCTTCCTTGTAACATGTAGAGATTGTCCTTGGCCAAGCTCTTTATAGATGAGGGAGCAACACCCTTACTGCTTCCGACACGGTACAAAATGTAAACTGGAGAAATATACAGATTTCCGTTGGGTTTAACAATCCTAAAATAAAGTTCAGATGAACAAACCACTCCCTCATTACATACATAAAAATTCCTTCTGGGTCAAAGATGATGTGATGAGCAAAAGCTTTTAAACTTACTAGGGATCAAGTACTTGATGAGGCACAGAGCTAAGAAGACAAATGCCCCAGCTCTCACAGGTTTGCACTTAAGTTAAAAAAAGAAAGAGCCCAGCCGGTGTGGCTCAGAGGCTGAGTGCCAACCCATGCACCAGAGGTTGTTCATTCAATTCCCAGTCAGGGCACATGGCCAGTTGGCAGGCTCGACCCCCAGTAGGGGGAATGCTGGAAGCAGCTGACAGATGCTGATGCTTCTCTCGCTCATCAATGTTTCTCTCTCTCCCTCTCCTTTCCTCTCTAAAAATCAATAAAGAAAAAAAAGTATAGACTTGAACTATCACCTTACTAATTTTAAATGAGGTCTAAGTTCAATAAGTTTAGGAATTCCAGATTTCCCAGCATTCAAAAAGCTCCTTCAGGGAAGATGCTCAAAGAGGAGGCTCACTAGATTTCTGCTCTGTCCACCGCATTCCCTTACTGGACATCAGCAGCCAAACAAAACTAATATAATTTAATCCGGTTGGGTTTTGTGTTTCTCCTGAATTGCTGAAGCATAATTAGCAGAGGCACTACTGGACAGAATTATATTTGTTTATTTTCCTCAGAACCAGAAAAAATAGATGCTATTATTATTAACAGAGAATGCATGTATTGTTCTTACTGAAAAGTTATGTAACTCATACATCATGCAATTATTCAGAAAACTTTGTTAGAGATGACAGATTCTTCTTTCCTATTCACCATCTACAGGAGCGTAAAAATTATCTGGGGGGGGGCAGACATTCTTAAAAGAAAATTTTAATTCTTTTAGTTGTTTTAAAAATTACTCATATCCCACAAACATTGTGAACACTGAAACCACAATCATTGTTTATATTACCTTAAGCATATTGTGTTAGACTCATATATAAGACTTTATCCTCAGGAGAGGAAATGAATGGTGTGACTATAACCTCAGAACTCCACAAAACATTTTTACTTTTAAAACCAGTTAAAACACAATTGCCATTAAATGTGACCTTGTTTCAGTGACTAACACAAGTGAATCCAATCAGTCGTCAGCTTCAATGGGACAAGGGTGCTGTGGGTTTCGTTTGGGGCTGTTGCCTTATACATTATCAGGGTTCCAGAAAAAGTTGTTGAATGACACTTACCATTAAGAATATCTTCAAATCCAATAGTCTCATCACTACCCCTCAAAATATCCAGCGAAAGGTTTGAGCTTGGAAGAAATGGAAGACGCTGAACCTTTGGGAAAATTATGCAAGGGCAAGATTAAAAAAAAAAAATAAGGGGAAAAAACTGTATAATCTAACTTCATGCTCTTCACACTCTTTATTTGTAAAATCCACAAAATTAAATGTCAATTTAACCAGTGGGGAGGGAAAAAAAACCCATTCATTTAGACCCAAACCAAGTTTTTAAAAATTCCTCAAAACTTTACTCAAAAGGGCCCTGGCCAGTTTGGCTCAGCCTACAGACCAGAGAGTCCCGGGTTCATTTCCCGCTAAGGGCACATACCTTGGTTGTGGTTTGTCCCCGGGGTTGTGTGGGTGGCAACCAGTCAATGTGTCTCTCTCACGTCGATGTTTCTCTCTCTTTCTTTCCCCTCTCTCCCTCCTGCTCTGTCTGAAGATAAATGCAAAAAAGTGTCCTCAAGTGAGGATACAAAAAATCAACTTCACTCAAAATGTATAGACACTGAAACTGTACTTTTATTAACATTTAATAATCCTATCAGGTTTTCACATATTTAGGGGCTTTGCTTATGTCCAGGAAACCACAGTATATGCTATCTGATGAAATGCAAAATCCCAGAGCCAAACACTATGTCTAATTTCTAATAAATGTGGAATGATCAAATTCCTAAAGAAATTCCAACTCAGTGACAGCATTATTCTACTTAGTAAAGTGATCACTTCATTTTGTATGTTGTTTTATATTGTTCATTGTACAAAGGTAAGTTATGACCCTTTCAAACTGTAGTGATACTCTGAAATGAGGATCAAACTCAATTGTGGGACTTTAAAAACCACAATACCATTTTGAATGAGTGTTACCATTCTTTTCAAGTATGAAATAAGTAAACCACAGACTGCTACCCAAGTATAGTAGAGAAAGCATGGGCATGGAGAGAGATCTAGATTCCAAAGCCAGGGCTTTGCATGAGTTACCTTATCTGTCTCCCCTGATTCCTCCTCTGTGAAACAGGACCATACCACCTCTGTTGAGGTGGAAAGTACGTATATAGTATAGTCATTGGCACATAGCTGGTACTCAGCAAACTCTAATGTAGCCAAACTAAATTTTCAATTTTAAAGTAATCATAACTTTAGAATCTAAGGAGGCAGTTAAAAGATTTTTTTTCTGCCAAAGAAATGTGTGCAGACTAAAAATATTTTTAATTACTAATGGCCTAGAGTTATTTAAATTTTTGTGGCATGAAAAAATTTCTCCCGGTTGTTAAAATTGAAAAAAAAAAGTGGGGGAGTGATATAGAAAGAAGAGGAAGAAACAGATGGAGCCTGTAAATTAAACCAGATGAAAAGGGGGATGGTAGGTACAGTCTGACCAGAGATACAGACCTGAGAAAGCATCGAAAAGCAGGGATGAGCAGGCAGTGTTTCTATATCCTGACTAGCAAGAACTGCATTAATATAAGGATCAGAAAAAGGGGGCCAGAATTCTGGACAAAGATTTTTGGATTAAAAGCTTAGGCCCAAAACATGACCAAAATGTAACTTGGAATCTGAGAAGTAGGAGCATTAAAAGAAAAGCTAACAATTTTGTATATTATATATTTCATTTTATCTGTTGAATAATCCTAATAACCCACATTGTTCTCACTGCTAACTCAATTTCACATTCAAATCAAACACGTGATCTAAGGCTCAGAAAAGTCTCTAATGTATTCAGTTCTTAAGACTAGCGGTTGGTGGAGCCAAGATTCAATCCAGGTTACTCTGACATAAAGCCTTGCATGCTCTTTTAGAGCTTTATCCCTGGAAAAAGTTCTAAAAGCTTCCAGAACGACAGTGATGACATTTATAGAATTTATTTTAAAAGACACAATTTTGGCCAGGTGAGAAAAAGGAATTCACAGTAGTAGAAAGAACATGTGCAAAAGCCAAAAGGAGAGAGAACCCAGTCAGCCAGGACACTGCAAGCAGCTGAGGAGGCAATGGAGCAGGGTGCAAGGCAAGGCGAAGGCAATCGGGACCAGAGCCACATTAAGGAGGTGGGTTTTACTCTGAGGGCAGAATGAGGGGAATTACTTGATCAAATTTGTGTTTTACAAAGATTACTCTGGCTAGAGAGTGTACGGGCAGCAGGGGTGGGTGTTGCAGTAATCTAGATGAAGCACGGTGGGGGTCAGAACCCATGTTGCTACAATGGTAAACAGAGGTAATTAACTGGATGCTGGGGGCTGGGGATGGGGGGTAAGGTGCTAGGTGAGATAACCAAGACTAATGTTCCAATTTCTACCTTAGGAAAAACTGTTTACATGTGATAAGGAGCATGTGAAAAAACAATGAGTTATTCTGTGCTTAAGTGAAATATGAAGTGTCTGGGGACTCCCATTTGGAGAAGCCTATTTTACAGGAGGTTTATAGCTTAATGATAACTAAAGTCACAGGAACAGATAGGAAATAAGAGGATGGGGAGAGGACCGAAAATGAGTACTAGCCCTAGCCAGTTTGGCTCAGAGGTTAGAGCGTTGGTCCACAGACCAGAGTCTCAGGTTCGATTCCTGGTCAAAGGCACCTGCCTCGAATGCGGGTTTGACCCCTGGCCCTGGTCTGGGTTATAGGGGAGGCAATCAATCAATGTGTCTCTCTCACATCAACGTCTCTCCTTCCCCTCCTACTCCATTTGAAAAATCCAAGGAAAAATATCCTGGGGTGAGGATTTAAAAAAAAGAAAAGAAAAGCAGCTCACCTTGCAGAAGCACACTTAGGGAGAGAGAAGTTGCTATAAAGAAGTTTGAGACTGATATAATTTTTACTTTGTTTAAATGACAGAGGTTCAAACATAAGTACATGCTGCTGAGTTCCAGCAAGCAGAGAGAGGTTGAAGATAATCAGCTATAGAGAAGATCCTTGAAAAAGGAAGTCCCTAGCCCTGGCCAGTTTGGCTCAGCGGTTAGAGCGTCCACCTGCGGTCCGGAGAGACCTGGGTTCGATTCCCGCTAAGGGCATGTACCTCGGTTGCAGTTTGTCCCCGGCCCTGGTTGGTCGTGCGGGTGGCAGCCACTCGATGTGTCCCTTTCACATCGATGTTTCCCTCTCTCTCCCTCCCACTCTGTCTGTACAAAAAATGGAAAAAAGTCCTCCGGTAAGGATTAAAAAAAAAAAAAGATAAAGAAAAAGGAAGTCCCTAAAGTAGTGGGATGTGAAAAATCCAGAACACAGGTTGGGGCACAGTTCTCATGTTCCTGGAAGGCCACTTCTGAAGATCTTATACCTGAGCAACAGGTACACTCAGGAATCTACAAACTGCCTACTTGAGAGCTCCACCTGGAGGGTCCCACAGGCATCTCAAATTCAATGAAACCCTCCAAAAGAAGGTTTTCCATTTAATGGCTTCTTTTTTCTCTATAAAATAGGAATCAAGATCATAGTCTAAAAGGGGAAAAGTAGAATAATAAATTGTAGTAGAGAAGGTCAGGTTTGTACACCTGGTATTAAAATAGAAAAGCCATTCCAACTGGTATCAACACACATGTCGGATGCATACATAATTTACATACATACACTCACCTGTTGCACTGCCTTGAATTCCATTTGCAATTTTAGTGGAGCAAACAGACCCTGGATGTTTCTCAGTGTAGAAAAATTCATTTTATCTTGGTTGAGCTGGAACTATAAAAGACAGCAATGCATTTTATTTTTATTTATTTATTGTTAATCCTCATCCATATTCTTTTTATTGATTTTGAGAAAGAGAGAGAAACATCAATGTGAGAAACAGCAATTGGTTGCCTCCCATACATGCCCTGACTGGGGGGATTGAACCCTCAACTTAGGTATGTGCCCTGACCAGGAATCCAACCCACAACCTTTTGGTGTACAGGACAATGCTCCAATCAACCAAGCCACCTGGCCAGGGCAGCAATGTAATTTTAAGTGCTACACTCAACATTCTGCATCCAAAACAATTAGCAATGATACACATGTAAGATGAAGAATTTTAATACACACAACTGAAATAAAAACAAAGTACTTTCACTCGCTTCAACAATTTTTTGGATATAGATGTCTGTATTTTTTCTAGCATGCAGGTACACTTCACCAGTGTGAAATTATCACCTAAAGTTTGGATTTACAAAACTAATAAATTAAGGAATATTGCAAAATTATATTCACAAAGCATAGTCACATTTCAGTACTCTGGGTTATAATTACCACAAAACTGGTAGAGCAAAGAAAAGGTATAAATAATCTGAGATCCAAAAACAGTTACTTACATACAATGACAAAAATTAATAGTGAATTTCTAAGTATGAAAGTGTTCATCTCAAAAGATTTCATAAAGAAATAATCAGATCCCATATACCTCCCTATTAATTAAACTACAATGTTTAAACTCCACTTTTGGAAATAACCGATTCTGAAGGGGGAAAAAAAACAAAACTCTGAATAATTTGTATTGAGTACAACTAAGCAACTTTTTTCTGGAATCATATTTTTATTACTTCTAAGAAACTTTTATCACAATTTATGTATTTCAGGCAAAATGAATTAACCTAACTCATGGATTCTAAAACATACAGTTTCCCAAAAAGGCTCTTAAGAATTATGTTTATGATATTCAAATAGACTGCCACACCGATCTGTCTGAGCTAATGAGGTAAAGTAACCTCTGTGATTTTTTTTTTCTTTATTGATTTTAGAGAGGAAGGGAGAGGGAGAGAGAAACATCAATGAGAGAGAACATAGACTGGTCGCCTTCTGCATGCCTCCTGGGCATGTGCCCTGACCAGGAATTGAACCAGTGACCTGTTGGTGCATGGGTCGACGCTGAAACACTGAGCTTACCAGCTGGGCTGACCTCTGTAATTTTTTACTACACTACACTTTTCTTAAGATTTTTTTAAGTCATCAGTAAAAAATGTAACTGATCAAAAACCTACTGAAAGATTAGTACTCACTTGAGACATGATCTGGGGGCACACATAAGAGGCCTGAAGGTAATATATCTAGCAATATGGTTTTTAATTACTTTAGCTTAACAGCAAAATTCTGACAGATGGTCTAAATTTTGGTCCATATGTAAGGGAAATATGCAATATTTGATTATGAATATATGACCTGATATTCCTTTTTTTTTTTTAAATCCTCACCCGAGGACATTTTTGCATCTATTTTCAGATAGAGAGGGAGGAAGAGTGAGAGAGAAACATCAACATGAGAGAGACACATCAACTGGTTGCCACCCACATGACCCCAACCACGGCCAGGGACAAACTGCAACCGAGGTAAGTGCCCTCAGCAGAACCGAACCTGGGACTCTCTAGTCCACAGGCCGACACTCTAACTGCTGAGCCTAACCGGCCAGGGCTGACCTGATATTCTAATTGAAGGGTTTCCTTTAAATACTGTTTATCTTCATAATTAAATAAAATTTATGTAGAAACATTCAATTTATAAACTTTGATAAATATACCCACCCTGTAATGTGATATCCAACTGTAATTACCAATCAACATATACTTAATTATTAGCAACCACATGCAAAATTAGAATTAGGCTCTATGGCAATAAGCATCAAAACAGAAGAAAAAGCTACCCCGGAGATAGACTACATATATGTTATATACTCTGGCTGGGAAGATATCACACATAGATCAGGGCTTCTCAACCCCTAGCACTACTGACATCTTGGGCAAGATAATTCTTTGTTGTAGTGGGTGTAGACCGTCCTATGCATTGTAGGATGTTTAACAGCATCCCTGGCCTCTACCAAATGCCAGTACCAAAGAACCTGACTCCAGGCACCCTTGTGACAACCAGACATTACCAAATGTCCCCTGGGGGTGTGTGGCAAAATCACTCGTAGTTGAGAACCACTGGCATAGATGATGGTCACCTTCATCACTGCAGTTCCTAGCATGGAGAGCTACTATAAGCCAGCATATGCTGAGGGATATGCTATTACAGTAAACTCTTGATTTTAGACTTCAATTTAATGAACTTCTGATTTAACAGACAATATTTCCAGTCCATATGTAATATGTGCAAATTAACACCCTGTCAATTTTAAAATGCTTTAAATCAAGATTTGATTATAATTAAATTAACAGGTTATTTTCTGTTATTATTTCACTGCTATTTTAAAAAATTTTAGTGAATAGGGAATATATTGGAAAAAACACTATAGTAATTTTGCCGACATAAATAAATATTACATATCTACAACTATAGTCTACATATTTAAATCCAAGAATCACCACTTTGTTGCATGGTGTGACTTTCTGCAGTGGTTTAAATGAGTGTGGGGGCCAATGTTCCAACGGTAGGCTAAGCTATGCCCTACCCATGTGCATCACGGTGACTGGTGAATGCACACATTTACTAGATCTATTCAGTATAAATTTAAAATTACAGTAATATATATAAAAAACTTCTCTGTGAAATTAAACTTTTAACATATATTTAGTTTTAATTACACAAAAGTAAAAAAATTTTACTTATTAAAAAAAGTAAAAACAGGTAAACAAATTAACTTGTCAATGTTCTACCATATGCATTCGGAAAACCTAGTTTATTATATAAAAAGGTTTTATTATATAATAATAAATAATTATTTATTATTATTTAATGGACACCCCTTGACATAATTAGTCTGTTATATCAAGGTTTTACAGTACTAACTCCACTTCACTGATGAAGAAACCAAGACTTAAAGAGAGATGAAGCCACTTGCCCAAGCTTACTTAGCTAGTAAGTAGTATAATACCAAGAATTTAAATCTCTATATAGTTCAATTACACAACCCATGCTAAAGGACTTACTATAGATAATGAGTGCCACAGAATTTCAAGGGAGAGAATGTCATTAGCTGGTTAAGTTAATTAAGACAACAAAGAGACAGTAGATGTAAGCTGAGTCTTAGGAGATCCATAAAATTTGCCTGGCCAGTGACGCTCAGGGAATTGAGCATTATTCCACGGACTGAGAGGTCCCGGTTCGACTGCCAGTCAGGGCACATGCCTGGATTGCGGGCTCAATCCCCAGTAGGAAGCATGCAGGAGGCAGATGACCAATATTTCTCTCTCACATTAATGTTTCCCTCTTTCTCTCTCTAAAAAAAAAATCAATAAAAATATATTTTTAAAAAAAGATCTACAAAATTTTTAGACTCTTCACCATTTTGGTCAGTCTTATTCAGATTGGTCAGTTTCTAACATGTATTGCTCAAAACTGAACCAATATTCCATATCTAATAACCAAATTAATACTTAGGAAAATGAAGGGTATTATCTCTCTTGATTTGAGCTCCACCTTATTATTAGTAAAGTTCAAGATTGCATTAATTGTTCTTTTCAGTGGCTAACATAATCTGCTAGCTTATAATGACCATACAGTTGATTAAAGTCAAGTTTTATGTAACAAGTCAGGTTTACACCATCTAAATGTGTGTAATTTATTTTTTTGAATCCACATGCAAAACTTCACATTCTCCTGTGTGTTGTTTTTTTTCATTTTTGGCTTAGTTCCTTTGATCTATTTTGTTGTCTGTGATATAGTTTGGTTAGTCACTAAAATGAGCTATCCTTATCAGCTTTTTCTCCCATAAACCTAATTTACATGCTTTCTATGGTTAGCTTCATCTTTGAAAAACCCTTGGCCTTCCTACGACTTCTGAGCATGAAACCAAAATGCACTTAAACAACTAAGAGCCCTTTTATTTTCTCATCTAATTTGAACTTCAATGTCACCATTGCATTATTTGTTCTACTCTTTCTTAAACAAAGATCTTTTCTCTTGCTAAAAGAAAAAAATGCAACAGGAATAGGTCAGCTTTCTGGGTAACAGTACACATCTTCCCCCAAGTAGTAACTCTCTTCTTGCTCTGAAAGTCTATTTAAAAACCCTCTCTGCTATCTAAAGAACATTTGTACAGGCTATACACTCTCTGATAATGACCTTTCTTCATCTATTTACCTAGAGAACATTGGTCTAAAACTATAAAAATGTCCCCTCCTTTATGAAGCCTTCCACAATCCCAAAGCACAGGTGGTGTCTCCATCCTTGGTTCTCTAAGCATCTTATGAAGTCTCTATCCACTGCTTGTCCTCCCATTAAACTTTTAGCCCCTTAAGTTTGGGGATTATATCAAATTCATCTGCATACATACTATGCCCAGTAAGTGGATATGTCCCTCTTAACTTGGGAAAACAAGGCTTGAGAAAGAGGTGAAGGCTAGAGATAGGGATTTGGAGATCTACATCAAAAAATGACAAGAAAAAAATATAAAAGAAAATGGGATCATAAAATGAAAAAAATCAGTGAGAGGAATGGAGAGGTGGATTAACCTTTAGAAACATTCATAAAAAAGACAGACTGGAATGTGGAGAAAGGAACTTAGTGCAACACCATAAGGATAATTCAAAGCCTACTCTACAAAAATATTGAAAATAAGGCCTCATACTCTTCATGGTCAAATACTCCACACCAGAATTATCTTAATAAATGAAACCAAAAATGTATTACTGAAAGTATTTTTCTACTACAGGACAAAAATAAATATACTGTTAACATACTTACATTTTTTTCTGATAATTCAAGAGGATGACTGGGCAAAAGTTCATTTTTCACACAAGAAAAACTGAAAATAAACATTTAAAAGAGAGATTATATATCACTCAATACTTAAAGCTCAAAATCATATCTATCAAAGATACAACTACAATGGAATAGCACAAGGGAGTATTTTGGGGAGGATGAAATTTCTGTATCTTGACAGGAAATGATGCATGTATTAAAATTCATATAACTACCTACCCAAAAGAAAAATGAACTCAAATTTCAAAAAGTCAAATTTACTGTATGCTGTTTTAAAATGCATCTATTATACTTATAGTCAAGACTTCAAGAGAGATCCCTCTAAAAAATGGTGTTAAATGATGCCCTGAAATCTAGAAGAAACTTCATAAGGTGTGTTTTTTACTATTACTCTTATGACATGCTTTTGTATTATATAAAATATCTAAGTCTGTTCTGATCAGATCCAATGTGTATTCAATATTTACTGTACCTTTAATAATACATGTCAAACAATATGTTTGACATTTAATGAACACCTCCTATGTACAAAATACTATGTTAGATTGATACATAGCTTGAACCGGGCCACTGGTCTTTATTACACTATATATATAAAGATGAATATCTTATTATCCAAAACAGGATTTGAGAACTGAAAGAAACCTTAAAAATCACACAATAATAATTTACTGAATGTTTTCTTTGAACAAACTATTATCCTAAAAGTGGAATTTGAAAATGGTTCTGCTTATGGCAATCTTACAGTCTAACTAGAAAAAAAAAAAAAAAAAGGAGCATTCATGTGAAAAAAATAAATACATAACAAATCATCAGGACTTGGTTACTGGCTACTTTATAAATTTGATTGTACTTTAAATCAAACTGTATCTCTAGTTCCAAAGGCTATATGCTGCATCTTTCACTACAAAATGGAAAGACAAAAATGAGACATTATGTCTTTCCGTAGATACCATTAGAATGCCATTCTATTACATACAACCTAAATACCTTAAAATTAGATATAACATTCAGAAATTCAAAACACAGAATGCTCACGGTGGGGAAGACATTATTCTTATTTGTTAAGCAGAAAAGCAACCTGCCAAGAGCTGGTACCAGAAATTGAGACCTAAACATATGGAAACATAAAGGAAACTGAGGAAAGGACTGTAACTGTGTGCCAAAGCTAGAAAAGAAAGATAATAGCAGCTAACACTGACTGCTTACTAATGTCAGGTACTGTTCCAAGTATTTTTCATGCACTACTAAATCATTCCTCAAAAAACATATATACTATTAATAGCCCTATTTCAGATGAAGACAATGAGACATACAGCAATTAAATAACTTGCCCAAAGGCATGCATTTAGCAAATAGCAAAGCCAGGGTCAAATCCAGGCAGCCTGAGTGGAGTCTAAGCTTTTAACTGCTATGTTCTAGTGTCTTCTCCCATAAAGTGTATCACTCCAATAGTTAATAAGTTAATAAATGGCTCTCCAAGTTATCAACAGCAAAGTGAAGAATCCTACCAAATCATGCTACTGAGTACTGTCTCCTGGGAGGATACCCTAACCTGGGAATCTACTACTCTGATAAAGCACTTCTTCGGCTACAGAAAACATCTAAGCCTCTGCTCCCTTCCTCCTCCAGTCTAAGCTATATTACTTGCTAACTTCTAAATTAAATATATATTGAGGGCCTAGCAAAATATTTAAAGAATATCGTGAAAAATAACTCCCCAAAACAAAGCCCAAATCACAACTCTCCATATACCCTTTTCGAAGAAGATCATGATTTTCAAAAGGTCCACTTGCGGATAGCTCAGTAACTGGAATACTGTCCTTTAGCTGAGATCCAAGTCCTCTGGTATTCTATAACACAAATGAATAACATTATTAAATGAAAAAAATTCAAAATGCCCATACTGAACATCTAAGTAAAAATCATGGTTTAAGTACTAGAAAGAAAAAAATAAGGTCTCTTTCCTCAAAGAGCCTAGTTTAGACAATCACAATGAGCCTTACTTAGCATTATGCTAGAGCAACACACATGGTACAGCGAATAATATCAAATTTGGAGGTAGAAAGGATTCCTGAGTCATTTCTGAATGCTGTCAGATCAAAGGGCATTTCAGAAAAAAAAAGAACAAGGGTAAAGGTATAAAATTATAAATGATCAAGTGAGTAAGACAGAAGCAAAGGCTGGCAAAATAAAAAGGCTTTGGTTTTATTCTGAAATGGATACAGAGCCTCTGAAGGGGTATGGCATGATCCGATTTACTGCCATGGGAAAGATCCCTCAGGTTGGAATGATAAGTACGGAATGAAAAAAGGACAGAATCTTGGGGAATACCATTCCTTCAGGACAAGGAAAATGCACAAGATGATGGAATTAATAATGAGCAGAATAGCTAGAAGAGAGTGGTCACAGAAGTTAAAAAAAAAAAAAAGGCAGGTGGGTGGACAGGATTTCAGAAAGTGGTTTTTATAAGAAAAATAAATGTATCTAATCAGGAGAGTGTCAAACAAAAACAAAGACTCTGTATTTGGTTCAGGTAAACTGCTACCCTATGCCCTGGACAGTTTGGCTCAGCGGTTAGAGCGTCGGCCCGCAGACCAGAGAGTCCTGAGTTCAGGTCCCACTAAGGGCACAAACCTCAGTTGCAGTTTGTCCCCAGCCCTGGCTGGGGTTGTGTGGGTGGCAACCACACAATGTGTCTCTCACGTCGATGTCGCTCTCTCTTTTCCCTCCCTCCTCCTCCTGTTCTATCTGAAGATGAATGCAAAAATGTCCTCAGGTGAGGATTAAAAAAAAAAAAGTCACTCTATGCATTTATACAATAAATCTTTTATTAATATGTTTTTATTGACTTTTTTTGAGGAAGAGAGGAAGGTAAAAATAGAAAACATTGGTGTGAGAGAGAAACACTGATAGAGTGCCTCCTGCATGTCCCCTACTGGGGATCCAGCCTGCCACCCAGGCACGTGCCCTGACCGGGAATGGAACTGGGACCTCTCAGTCTATGAGACAATGCTCAATCCACTAAGCCACACCGGCTGGGCAATTTATACAATAAATGATTTAATCATCAAATATTTATTAAGGATCTACTATATGGTAGGTACTCGGCTAGATGCCAACAATACATGTCTACCTTCCAGGGCTTAGCCTGATGAAGACACATTAGACAAGCAAATGAAATGTGATAAAGGTTACAACAGGTAAAACACAAGATGCTGACTTTAAATCACTAGCTGCTCAAGTTCAATAATATCCTTAGAATTCTGAAAAAAAAGATGTAAAACAGCTACAGATAGTTTGGTATTGGTGTTATACTGTTTTAGGAGAAACTACTGAGAAACCAGCTTTTTTATTAATTTCTAAAATAATTTGTATATTTTATTTGGTCAGGTATTCTATCCTGTCCAGCGTTTCTTCAACCTATCACCCTAGTCCAGGCTCTCCCACCTGAATAACTTCCACAGCACCCGACTGGGTCTTACTGCCTACACACACTTCTTTCTTCCAATTGTGCATATCAAGGTTTTCCTAAAATATACAATCTCCCTCACAAACACTGTTAAGAAAAAACCTTTCACTGGTTCATCAATGTCTTGTCTGAAGAAGAAAGTCCAAGGTCTTTAGCCTGAAACCCAAGAAGCTGCACAACAGGTTTCAACTCCCTCACACAGAAATCATGGGGTCAATCAGGAAACGGATCTGGAACCTAGTGTGGACTGTCACTAACTATGTGCCTGTGACCAACTCACGCAACCTCTCGGCCCTGTTTACTCATCCTTCCAGGTACCTTCCCCAACGTACATCCTGTTACTTTTCTGCAGGACATTCTCCTCCCAGACTGCTCCACTGTAAAGTGACAGAAGGAAAGTTTCTTCTACGCGAAAGAAACGGAATTCTCATCTCTGTGTTCTACTGTAATCACCTTTCCAATTACCTTCTTTAAATGTCAGGATGGGTACTTGATATTTCGAATAAAGTAGCGGAGGAAAACACATCTATGAAACACTGTCTCTGGTTACACTTCAGAGTGTTTATAAGACCTCTTTACAATGAGCAGCGGTTTTCCAGATCTGGAGGGCCTAGCAACAGTACCGGTATCAGAGGTGGTGATTCAGGGGTCTCCCAAACATCACAACTTTTAAGTTAAAAAGAGAAAAAGAAACGGGGCAAGGGATGGAGGAGATGCACTAACAATGCTGCCAAACGGGAAGTAGCAACCGCCTGGTCTTTTCTCCCCTCCAACATCTGGCAGAACACAAGCTCCCCAAACGCTTGTAGAGTGAAGCTAAGCGGTCAAAATGCGACCTTTAGTTGTGGGTTTGTGATGAAGTCGGCTCTAAGGGTCGGGGTAGGCGAGGAGTTTGGGGGCTCTGGGCTCCCAGAGGGTCTCCCCTCGGGGGCAGGGCAGCCGGCAACGCCACACCACAGAGGGCTGCACTTTCGTACGTCCTTTCCGGCTCGCGCCCCCTACGAGGAAGGGGTCGGGGTCCGCTGGGGGACCTGGGGACAGGGGGACACAACCCGAAAGAGAAGGAGATGGGAAAGCTTGAAGCCGAAGCACTGCCCGCGGGACCTGCACGGGAGCCCGGCCCGCGCGACAGCCGCGAACGCCCAACCCCATGACTCGACACATCCTGGCGCCTGAGGCCGGTCTCTTCCTCCCGCCACCGGGGACCAGCCAGGGGCGGCGGCAGCCGGGTCCTGCCGGGCCGCGGTCCCAAGTGCGCCGGGAACTCGGGTCGCCCGGGGGCTCACTCACCATCTTCAGGTCGCTCGGCGGAGAGCTTCTCAGCACGGTTACCGTCAGCCAGCCCCGCCGCTCACTTCCGTTTCCGGGGTTGCTCCCCCCACATCCGCCGGAAGTGCGTCCGTCCGGGCGAGGAAGGAAGGAGGGCGCGGGACGCCTGGAGGGAGCCGCGCGGGGCCGGGGCTCCCACGCCTGCAGTCTCCGGGGACCGGGGGCCGAGGGCGCAGCGTGGGTGTGGCTGGGGGAGGCGGGTCGGGACGAGCTGTGCCCCGGAGCGGGAAGACGCCGACGTGCTTCTGCGGCTGCATCGCCCTCGTCAGTACAACACCTCTTGGATAGATTCCACGCTTTTCAGAAGGGTCAGCGAGGTCCACGTGGGACGAGTGATTGGCCTGCGATCGTTCAGCCAGTGGGGCAACACTGGAACACGAGGCTTTTTAAGTGTTCTTTTAAAAAATCATATACTGAAGGCCTGCCACGTTCAGGACCTTGTGCGGAGGCCAAGAAAACCAGGGAACCAGGCTGATGTGGTTCCTGAGCGAGCGGAGCAGAGGAACTGTTGGGGATGGGAAGGGTGAAAACGAACTATGATAATCACTGCCATATATTGGACTTTCACTATACAGTAACACAGTTGTAAGTGCTTTACATGAACGATTTTCTTTAATCCTTCCAATAATCTTTTGAAGGAGGTACTACTATTACTTCAATGTTACAGGTGAGGAAAGCAAGACAGAAAAGAGGTTAAACAAATATGCCCAAGGAGCCCTAGCCAGTGTGGCTCAGTTGGTAGGAGCTTAGTTCTGTATGTCAGGGGTTCATTTCTGGTCAGGGCACATACCCTGTTGTGAGTTCCGTCCCTGGTCCCGGGTGGAGCACATGCAGGAGGTGACCAATCCATGTTTCTCACATCCATGTTTCTCTCCCCCTACCCCCAAATCAAAGATGTCTTCAGGTGGGAATCAAAAATATTTACAGGGGTGAGCAAGAGTAGGTTTACAGTTGTAAGTATGCAAAACACAATTTATTCTTGAATTATTATATATTATTGTATTATTTGTTAGTATTACAACTGTAAACCTACTTTTGCCCCACCCCTGTATATTTGCCCAAGGATTATGATCCATTGTCATAATACCGTACTGTATTGCCCAAGAAATATACTGTGATCTCGTGCTCTGTCACCATATGATGGAGCTAAGCTAAGGCAGGAATCCTCAGGCTGATAGCCAAAGAATAAGAATGAACTAGTTTGAAGTAGCAGAGTATATGAAAGAATAGTACTGGCAGATTTGCTTGTGCAGAAGCTGAAGTGGGAAAGGTTTGTGTGGCTGAAGTAGGGAGACAGTTGTGTGAGATGAGGCTATAAGGGGATGGAGGCAAGTTTATTAATGGAGGCCCTTGTGCACCAGATTAAAGCCGAGACTTTATCTTTAAAAAACCATTGCAGGATTTTAAGGAAGGAGCTGATCGAGTTTCATGTGTATATCCACTGCCATGGTCTTAAAATCTTAAAGTTCTTCAGTAACCCTGATTTTTTTTTTTACATGCCCCTATGCCCCTAGTGGGAACTGAACGCGGGACTCTCTGGTCCACAGGTTCAGTTCCCAGATTTTAAATACTCTGTACTGCTGTCCTTGTGTGTCTTCTGGCTGTTCAGAATATCCATGTTTACCTTGAGATGAGTTTGAGTGTTTCATTTGCATCTTTTTCCTTTCGCTCAATTTCATCTAAGGAGAAATTTAAATATTACAACTCTTTTTTAAAAATCATTTTAATGTTTGTTGATTGCTTACAATTCAGTCATTAAATGTTTGTTTGTTAGCATTTGCTAGGTACTAGAATCTGGAGCTACAGACAAAAAGGCATTTCCCTATCCTTGAGACACTTTTATTTTCCCAAGGGAATAGACATAGAAACAAACATTTAAAATGCAGTGTAATAAATGCTTAGTAGAGAAAGGAGCTGGGCCAGGAAGTGGTTGGGAATGGGAAACATGGCATTTGAGGAAGAGGAAATGTGGAAAGGCAGAGATTTGCAAAAGGGCATGTTGTAATCTGAACAATGAAGGGCCCTTGTGTGGTGTGCTGAGATTTGGGGCTTTTTCTTGGAGGAAACAGGAGATAATGGAGGTATTTTCACAAACACTTGACCTTAAAAAAATTATTCTGGTGGCAACATGAGGGATACACTGGAATTGGGAGAAACTAGGAGCCTGGATACCATTAGAGTGTTATAGTAGTCCAAGACAGAGATGATAAAGGTGTGACTTGAGGTAGCACAGCATATTGGAAAGACTAAGAAACAGTGAAAAAGTAGGGGTCAACCTGAGAAATACTAGAATTCTAGAGACAGCCAGAAGAAGGGCAGCCTGCTTTGGAGACAGAAAAGAAATGGTCAGAGAGGCAGAATGAAAACCAAATCCAGGTACTCTGTTAGAATCCAAAGGGGAATAAAGTGTGGAGAGGTTGACAAGTAGTTCAAAAGAGAGGTTAGAAAGCAGTTTTAGAGTAGCTTCAAAAAGATCATGAGGTCTTGAAAATTGGCCTTTGGTGACCACTGTGAAGGCAGTTTCAGTGGTGCAGCAAGGAGGAAAATCCCCTTATTCTGAGGAGTACACACACCCATATTCATATTCATTTAAAAGGGGTTGTTACAGTATTAACTGATACAAGGTAGTGTTCAGTGTTCTAAAATAGTTTAAAAATTAGATCAGATACTAGATAGATAGAGAGAGAGAGAGAGAGAGAGAGAGAATGTGTTCAGCTTTCCCTTCTCCCTGGCAGGTACAAATTCTGGTCAGGCCTGCTTGGTCGTTTTTCCACCCATTGTGAGGACAGTTCTCAGTCAGATGGATTCTTTTGAGCTTTGAAAGCAGAATTGGAGGATTTAGAGACTGTTGGCAAGAGTTGATGACGATGGTGTTCCTTCAGAATTTAGAACAGGAGTAGCATGCGAGCCCTGTTGTATGAGAGCCATGGGAGGTAAAAATAATGTAGTTAGTGTAAAAAGTTTATAAAACATATTCTCCCCAAGGTACCTAATAATTAGAATGTTGTATGGCAATCTAAGTTTCAGAAATTGTGCTCACCTGCAAGGTTGGGAAACAGCGTTCATGTGAGGGGGTAGTATAAGTCTCAACCAGTAAGAAAGTATGTTTCGGAGGACCTGAAAAGAATCTGTAAATTATAAATAATGCATCCAACTCGTCTTTAAACTCTCTAAATTCTTGTAATGCTGGGAAAGGTTCAATGTGCTTAATTTAAAATAAATTATATTTACGCATCTTTCTTTGCAAGACCGATCATAAGTGTAAGGGATGAAGAAGTACTTTACATCATGTTTGTTTGACAGACCCCTTTCTTCAACCCTAAGAGATGAGTGTTTCATATTTTTTTTGAAATTTTTTGCTGACTATGATTTCAGATGGAGCTGCTTTTAAAAGAGTGTCCTCTGATTATGAAAAGCTGGATTTTCAGGATAAGTGCTGGAGTGGACTCTTGGTCCAGGTGTTTTGTTTTACTATCACGTCTGCTTTGCAGCAGACACAGCAGAGGTTAGCATTCAGTTTCTATGCTTTCATTGCCCTACTTCAGGTCTGCCTGTTTTTAAAAAGTGGTTTATGGTTTTAGCATAGAGAGTATCCATTTGCCTGTGGAAGATACAGTTTGTAGATTATTTGCAATGAATTTTAAATTATAGTTTTGTTTCTCTTACCATAACCTTCACTTGCCAGCCCACATGTAGGAGCATAGAGTCATTTTAATGTTAGATAAAGAAAAATTTAATTCAGAAGGCATTTCTGCCAAAAACATTGTGCAGAGCCTGGTGTGATATACATCCTAATGTTTTCAGTTCCCGCTGCTTTCATTTTTTATTTATTTATTTTTTTGGCTACGTGCCTCTAGCGGGAACTGAACCTGGAACTCTCTGGTCCGCAGGCTGACACTCCAACCACTGAGCCAAACCGACCAGGGTTCGCTGCTTTCAGATACTGGTGTCAGTGTTCCCCTCCACCAGCCTGAATAAATGAGAGGGGATGTTTTTGTATTTTTAAGAATTCTAAAATTTATTCCCAGAAGACAAAGGCTTGAGGAGAGAATATTGTACCTGTATTCCAAGCACACCCCAAAACAATTTACATTAATTTTATTCAGAATCAGAAAGTTGGTTTCGAATCTAGAGCTGAAAGAGATGGCCTCAGTCATCTGACTGCATTTTGCTCTATTGACTTTTGTTTTCTTTCCAGAAGCAATACATGCTCTTGTAGAAAATTAAAAAACACCAGAGATCAGCACTGCGAATGTGTCAGCTCACAGACATTCTTCTCTATGACAAAAATATATCTATTTTTAAAAATAGATTGACTCCATTTTCTCAGTGAGCTAGGAAGTTTGGATTTTTTCATGAACATGATATTATTTAATAAAAGATGTCATTCTGAAGCCTTAGAAAACATCCTTTAATTCAAGAATGGTGAATTACACGTAGGCTATTTACTCAACATTTTTCATCCTGTAAACATGGTTGGATGCCAAATGGCTGTTTTGAATAATTTTCAGAGGTTCATTTTTTTTTTTATATTTTGCCAGGGAAGTCATAACTCTTAAAATGCTCCATAATGCTAACCATACAGTTAGATTTATGGACACATATTATGTTCCATTTTTTGTTGTTTTCTCACTATTTCAGTACCTGGTGTTGATGCCAAAGGCTGTACAGCCTCGGTCTATTTATTAAATTAGAGTATAAGACTGAATTTACACAACAGAGTTTAGAAGGGGAAATGCCTTCGTTGCTTATCATTCTAGTTAGGTGTTTTTTACATGACTGGGAAAGAAAACTGTTACCTCCAAAATAATCACTCACTGAGAAATGGGTGTCATGATTAATGTCATTAATCAGCTGACACCCGAGCCACAAGAACAGCTCCTTGCCTTGTTCCAAGCCATCTTCTTTACTACTGCCAAATGTTTGTCCCTTCAAATTCAAACCCACTACTTCCCTCCTTAGAGCCCTTTACTATCTCCTGTTGCCTGCCCTATGGGATTATTTCCAGACTCTTTAGAATGGCAAACAGGCCTTCTGTGATCTGACTACCAACTTCATTCCTAATTCCTTTTTTTCTAGTCATATTATATTACTTGGCATTCTTTGATGTCATTGGTTTCATGCCCCTGTACTTTTTTTT